GTCTCTTAGTTAAAGTTACATTATTAGGCTCTTGAATTTCGAACGTAAAAACGTCGCTCTCTGCATTCCACAAAATGCCCAAAGTCTTTAGTGAAGGTAAACTGCTATCTTCAATCGAAAGATGCCCCACACGGTCTTGAATTGGTATTTCGTCTAACACCCTAGGGTCATTGCATAACCATTTACGAATCTGGAACCCCGCACTTAGTAATACTGCAGATATTTCTTGGCGCAACTCTATGGCTGTAGTTACATCATCAACACTATCTAATAAATCATCGATGTACATTGAGTTGAGAACGGAGTTAGCACCAGCTGGATATTTATCAATGTTCAATGTACAATGTTCTCTAACAACGGCTTGTGATAAATATGGCGACGAGGAATTGCCAAATACTAGTCGCTTATATTGATATATTTTTACATGCGCATCTGGAATTAAGTCCCTCCATAAAAATTTATGGAACTTCCGGTCTTCCGGTTTAATCTTAATTTGTAGGAAAATTTCGGTTATATCTGCGGCTATAGCAATAGGACTTTTGTGAAAGCGAAGCAAGACATCAAACAAGTCTCTTTGAAGTTTGGGCCCTGGGTATATACAATCATTCAAGGACTTTCCTTGACAGCGAGCGGCAGCGTACATTACAACTCTGACTTTAGTTGTAGACTTATCCATACGAACAACCGCGAAGTGTGGTAAATACCACGACGGTGCCTGGGTATCAATGGGTGAAACTTCTTCGATGCAGTCTTTCTCCAAATGATCATTCACATTCGTTGATATTCTTGAGCTACTAGTGGACGCCTAATTAATGATTTCTCCAAGTTGATGAGTCGCGATTTGGCGATAGCATAATTTGATTCGAGTTGGGGCTCGTTAGGTCTCCACGGAATACCCACGGTATATCGAGATGCGTTTGTATCGAAAGTTAAAGAATCCTTGGTTGAATCAATTGCTGCTTGTTCCGACTTGGAATGAGACTTAGCATTGACCACGACCCCGGACGATTCTAATTCCCACATGCTTCGAAGTAATGTGTCTACATGTGGCTCTTGGTTATCACTTATAAAATATGTACGAGCGAAATGAATTGTTCTATTTCCACGATTAAAGTCATTCGATGAACTTACTGGGCAAACACAAGTCCAACCTAATGGCGTGAGTCTTGCGATTGGCTCACCCGGACGACCAGCGATTTCTGTAATTGAACGATGAACTTGAGATGCGTTAAGACCGATTAATAAATCAACTTCTGGTCGATGACCGGATACTCTTGGAAACGGAATGCCTTGAAGATGAGGCCAGTTATTCGAGTGTTTCAACCAATCGACTATTTTCATATCTCCAGTGACGTTTGATACTGTAAAAGTCTCGAGTTGTAAATGCAACCTATCGTCGATACTACTAAGATTAACCCTGACGCTTGTCGTATCAAGTGTGTCCTTTTTTCCCCCTAAAACACTGACATTCAGTTGCGTTAAGTTTCCCTGAAGTCCTAATTCTGCAGCGATATTTTCGTTAATGTAGCTATCGGTTGAACATTCATCCAACAATGCGTCGCATGAAAGCTTTCTATTACCATTCTGAAGGATAACTGGAATAATACGCATAGCTATTCTGTCGTGTTCGTTAAATTGTGTATGAGTACGCGCGGTTGGATAATGACAACGTGCATCGTCCGTATTTTGCTTGCTGGGTAGTTTCACCGAAGTGGCTCTGTCTTGAGAAAACGATGATTGTCGTGCATTCTCATATTCTTGTGGAGCGTTATTTGTGTAGTATCCCCCTCCGTGCAATAAAAAGTGATGGTTCTTGGGACATCCATCGACAGCACATATCTTTGAATTAAGACACTTCCAACCTCGATGCGTAGGACTTAGACATCTAAAACATACATGTAGTCGTCTCTCTTTAGCGCAATTCCAACGTTGATGTACGGTGAGCGATTTAAACATCTGACAGTTATTAAGACCAAGGGTATGATTCTGATCGATACGATACAACAATTACGACGAGGAGTATTGAACCGACTGGAATCCGAATGATAAGTTCTGGCTCTACTGTTTGGCTGAGGATATTTCGATCTATAATTAAATGACGGCGAATACGATGACGAAGAAGCTCTATTGCCCGACTGAAAACCATCTATCTCTTCCTGGGCTTCGATGCAATATCTAATTTCTCCCGCTAACCATGTGTGTAGATTCATTAAAGTTTCTTCTTTTTTCTCTAAAGCGGCCCATCGTTTGAATTGGGTTACGTTTACAGGAGAAAGTTTCGATCTTGCTACACAGAAAAACATTGAATTTTCTTCAAATTCTTCCGTTCGACCATTCTCTTGAAGTGCGATTATACTAAGTTCTAATTTCTCGACAAAATTTTCAAAGTTCTTCAAATCATTAAAATTAACCGTACGCATTTGACGAATTGTGTCCAAATGTATCAATACTGAGCGACGTTGACCTCCAAATTTGTCATCTAAACGTTTGACGGCTGCATCATATCCGATTTCTGAAGCTGGAAATCCTTCTATGGCTTTTAAGGCATCTCCCTCTAAATGTTGGCGTAGCTGTAGCATTTTGTATGATTTCGAACACGAAGATTTGTCTATACATTCTGTGAAAGCGTCTTTAAAAAGTTGGTAATCTAGCTTTGAACCACTAAATTTGGGGATCAAAACTTTATTAAGTTGTTGAAATATGTCTCTATCAACTTGACGAATAAGGTCTTCCTTATTATTATTATTATTCGACGAAGAACTATTTTCAAGCGATGGTTGAACCAATGTATTTATATGATCTGCTGGATGCGACGATGCTTGTTCTTGTTGCGGTGACGATGGCCGTTGATCTGATGATGGCATGTCATTATTAATTTCGAGCTCAGTTGCAGCCTCCCTTGACTGTGTGTTAGTCGATCGTGGATTGGCTAAGAACTGAGTGGCCTGTGTAACTAATTCACTAATTTGTTTATGGTCTTCTACGTGTTCCAATTCTGACTCGAAACTATCACTATCTATACTAGTAAGTTCTGTTAACACACAAATTGCCTCCTCTTGACTAGCCATTAAAAATCGCAATGCAGATCTTATGTCGTCTTCGTTTATGTCATACACATTGCATGCTAAAGCCAAAGTTAAATTTATTCGCGCCTTTGCCAACTGGCTGTTGGCCATTCGTCTCTTTTTCAAAAGCGCTGTTAATATTTTGTTTTCGTTGGGATTATTTGTATTCTTCGAATCTGCCATTTCTGAATTTGATTGTTTACACTAATTAAGTTCAAATAAGCACATATGCTAATCGGTTCTATAACCATGCACGAAATGAAAATAGTGTACTTACAGTTCTAATAAGTCCTATATAAAACCACGCTCTGCTACCAAAACATGTTCCGAATACTGAACACAAAAGTTATTAGAGGATCTATTTATTTTTCGATAAACATCATAAAAGTACACAGCTATTATTTTTCTATCTATACATTCTACTATAACTATAAGCGCGAAATAACAATCGACTATATCCTTCTATTCCCCAGGCACTCTCTCCCCCTTCTCTCTTTCAGGCAGCTAAAAAAACTGTCACCCCTGGCTGTTGCCATGACTACGTCACGTACAAAAAAGATATCAACATTTTTTAGATAAAAACTCTAGGATGGACATTCATTCTGACCAAGCCCCAAGCACAAATATAATTCTACCAAATGATCCACGCCCTTAGGTTATAAGGAATACATACATGCCAAGTACCAAGTTGATCCATTCAGAATTGTGGCCTGTAAACGATAAACTAAAAAATTGGGTGTCGCTCTGCCCCTGGGGGTCGTGACATGCAGTTGTCGTCCTTAGGCTATAAGGAATACATATCCCAAGTTCACAGATGATCCATTAAGAATCGTGGCCTGTAAGCAACACAGAGACACAAAGAAAAATGGGTGTGGCTCTGCCCCTGGGAGTTGGGCATGTACCCCAAACCAGTGACTGCCCTAGACATTCGCCAATGGCGACAATTATTTTTATTGGCGAATAAAGCAATGATTCTGGCGAAAATTTTGGCAAATGAATTTTAGAGGGTGTTATTTCATAAATCTGCTAATATTAAACTTGAAATCTTCTCGTTCAACACTTCTTTCGATCGACTCGATGGAGTGTCTATTTTTAGTACGGTACATTAATTACTCTAGTCTCAATCTTACAAGTCGCAAATCAGTCAATGTTACGCATTAAAACGACCGAAAGATCGAGCCTCGAGACTATAAAACACAGTTACGCCCCTTTTGTGTGGCACTGCGTTGTTTACATTCGCTTCACTACAAGTTTTCTTTACTCACGCAGCAAATAAATAAAACGCACAACTAATACTAGTAAACCCAAAATAAGAAGGATAGATTCCTTTTTCCCTTCTACGACTACTGTTAGTCCAGAATCTACTTCCGAGAGTGAGAGTGTCATCTCTGACGCAAGTCCTTCGTTAGCTTCATCAACATGTGGACAAAAATCAGACCTTAACCGAGACCAAGCTAACCCACAATTAGTAATTACCTCATTTGTTATCTGCAATTCGAATTTTGGGATATCAGTCCCTTTCAATATTTGCCCACTTCAGATCATAACTTTCTGGATTATGGCCCCTGTTTGTACGAAAAATCGCTTTTGTTTTTAGCAGGTTTCTATCCATCTCTTGCAAAATGTTGGTGTATCTTGCCTGGCAACCGCTGGTTGTTTAATGTTTTGTAAAGTATATTGTTTTTGCAACAAATTAATATTTTTGTTTTGAGCAAATTATTGCCATTTTGACTGAAGTGAATTTTGGCCATTATGATTTAGACCATACCTTGAGATACTACATGTACAGGTACAGATAGTATGCCAGAGCATGGGACGGAAATAACATGAATACACATGTAGACTTTGGTTAGATTCATTATTGGTAAATTTTATCAACTTCAGTTTTAATTTAATGTGCATGTAACAAACCATTCTTTTTAATTTGTTGTTTAGTATGAAGAAGGTTTAAAACCAGACAGAGGTGTCATTTACCTAGGTCATATACCACATGGATTCTACGAGACAGAAATGAAAAGCTTTTTCTCACAATTTGGAAGAGTAACAAGACTAAGATTATCTAGAAGTAAAAAAGTAAGTGTTTAATAAAAATTTATTGTATAATATAATATAACCATTTCGCTGAATTCTACCAAGGGTTATTTAATTTGCATGCCAATTTTTCTGCACCATTGACAGTCACAGTAGGAAACCAGACTGGAAAATCCTAAAGACCTTTCTTGGTGTACAATGGGACAATGGAATTGAACCCGGGGCCTTCTGTCATTAGTGAGCTAGCGTCTTACACACAAAATATTCAGTTCGCCAATACAAAAACTAAGTAATTGTACAGTGCAAGATAGTAAATAATGACATGAATGTTGTAGATGCAATTTTTCCAAACTTTCAATCTGAATAAAATGATAGATTCCACAGTAAATGAAAAGGCAGCTTTATGTAACTTTGCATGTATTGGTTGATGTGTTGTACTTTTTAGACAGGAAATTCCAAGGGTTATGCTTTTATTGAGTTTGAAGATGCAGAGGTGGCCGAAATTGCTGCTGAAACTATGAACAATTATCTTATGTTTGAAAGATTGCTTAAATGTAAGTACTTGTGATAACATATTGGAAGATTTCTTCTGTCCTTGATATGAACAGGTCTAAGAATTTCCCTCAAATATCTCAATTTGAGAGGATAGTTTAAATGAAAAGTTAAGTAGACAGGTAGATCTATGTAGGATTGAATTATTGTCCCTGCCTTTCGATAATGAGCATTTTTGCTCAGAATAAACAGAGTGGTAAGCATTTTGATTGCTTGGTGCTTTACAAAAAGATAGTGAATAAGTAATGAATGCCTTCTAGTGTATTCTAGTACTCTATTTGCCAACCTTTTCAATAAGACCAACCAGTACTGAATGCCATTTTTCCCATGTAGAGAGTATAGTTAATTAATCATTGACTGTTAGTAATACAGAATATTTTGCAAGCCACAGTGGCTCAGTGAACATGGCTTTGGCTCAGTAATCAGAAGATCCTGGGTTTCCTCTTGTCAGTGGTGTAGGATGGCAGAACTGCTAAGGAAAAGATTCTAGTCTTTAGGATGGTGCGAGAAACTGAACTTTTCACAAAATTTTGTATACCAAATGATTAATCATTGAATATTTTATTATAGGTCAAGTAGTTACTTCAGAAAAAGTTCACCCCGGTTTGTTCATTGGTTCACATCGATCATTTTCTAAGCCAAAATCAACCAATATTTCTATAGTACGACACAATTCAACTAAATCTGTAGCCAAAGAAAAAAAGTTAAAATTAAAAGCCATTTCAAAGCAGCAGAAGAAATTAGCTAAATTAGCTGAACTTGGTGTAAAATTAGAGTTAAATAGTATATTAGTTGTAAGTATTCAAGTTTGTTTTTTCAAATAAACTAAGAGAAATCTTACCAGGCTGTATCTTGGTTAAATGTGATTGAAGTATTATTAAATAAAGATAAAAACATTTAATGACCTTAATGTTTGTTTATAATTATACTCAAAGCCATTAAAAATGCAATGCCTAATTCGTGAAATATTTCTGGTAAACGTTTTCTTGGACTTTCCTATCTTATGGCAAATGGGTGAAACTTGTGATGGGCCTCTTTTTGTGGAGTTCTGGGTTTGAACCCAATATCAGTTCTCGGTAATAAACTTTGTTCGTGCAAATGCAACACTTGTCTTTTTTCACGATTTTAAGCAGTCCCATGTCATTCGTTTTGCACATGAATTCCCTGCACTCTGGCCCTTTAAATACAGATCAAAATTTCAACATTCATCACTTAGGAAAAATGCCACGCCTTACACAAGAAAACAGGAACAGAGCTGTTGGCATGCTGGATCAGGGGGCTTCACAGGTAGCCGTCGCCAGACACTTTAATGTCCATCCATTGACCATTGCTCGCCTCAGACAACGCTTCCATGCCACTGGAAGAGTTGCCGATCGACCCCGATCTGGAGCGCCACCTGTAACAACCGCTGCTCAAGATCACCATATCCGACTACAACATCTGCGCAACAGGTTCCAGTCAGCTACTGCTACTGCCAGGGAAACTGTTCGAACACGGCAACGTCAGATCAGCCCTCAAACAGTCCGAAGGCGTCTGGCTGCTCTTGGGTTACACTGTCGTCGACCGTACCACGTTGTTGCAGTAAATAAACTTTAAATTTGGCATTGCATTTTTAATGGCTTTGATTGTATATGCATTTGATGTCTGTTATTATATTTTGTACTTTATATTGCAGTCTTCACCCACGACAAATAAAAAGGGGACAGTTACACCTAAATTTGCAATGGAAGAAAAGGTATTTAAATATTTTGATACTGAATTAGAATAGCTGTCAACCTTGTCTATAAATATCAGAACATACTCATAAAGATGGACATATGGATATTTATATTTAAGAAATGTTTAAAAGGAAAATTTTAGAGTTGTTTTCATGCCCTCTTTAACAAAATTTGCTTTTAACGTGAATAAAAGTTTCTTTCCTTTGGAATGACTTCCTTGACATCTTTATTTTATTTTTGTGTAACTAAATTTTGAATTGATTTTTTCCTTCAGAAACGGGTGGTGGATGAAACACCAGTACAGAGAATTGTACCAGAAAAAATTACAACACCAGAAGGTGAATTAATGGTATTAATGGAGGATGAAAGTGAAACAGAAATATCTTTTAAAACACCCCCTAACTCCATTAGGTCCTCAAAACTCACAGCTTCAGGAAAGCGAAAAAAACCTGCAGGTGACACACCTCGGACAAGTAAAGTAGGGAAGAAAGAAACTATAGAACCGATTGAGCTTTCTCTTCAACAAGATACAGAAGTCATGTCACCAGAAAAAGCAAAGGAAGCAATACGCAAAAAGGACAAACCAGCAACAAAGAAAGCTAAAAAACAAACTGCAAAAACAACAGTTGGTTCAGCTGAAAAACCAAGAAAAATGGAGACCAGATCATCATCGCGAAAGATAACCTTAACTTCAAAAGAAAAGTTAAAAGCACCTCCCACCAAATCTAGACGTCAAAAATGAAGATGTTATTAACAAATTATTTGATCATGGACTGGTGAAATTGTATTTAAATGAAATAAATTGAAATGTGTAGAAACACTTTGTTATGGGATGAAGTTTTTTAATAACTGACAAATTTGAAACGAAGGTGCTATTAGTGGACAAGACAACTAATAACTGTAATTGTGCTTTATTTTTTGAAAGTTACCATGATTTCAAAACTTGTAAATATTGATAATAAATCAACATAAATAATTGGATTATCATTTTATATTCATTTCTTTCATACGCAGAAATTTAGCTGTTATTATTAGCATGATTCTTTCTTGGTGGATTTAGTTCCCAAAACACAGCACCAACAAGTGTTTAAAGATGCCTTCCCACGTACAAACTGTGTGATTTGATGATATATTTGGACGAAAATTTTAATTGCGAGAAAACTACCCCATGATGTTAGAATCTATTCTAAGCAGCCTTGTTTGTCATATGAAATTAAGGATGATCCGTTTTTGTCTTGTATTTGTTGTTATAGATATCGAAGCCTACGTAAATGCTTAGATTATTCTCTGCCAACTTCTTTAATTAAATTCTTGGATTATTCTTCGCATACTTCTTTTTCCATCATATAATCATAGTCTGCTGTAGTTTGTTTCTCAGTGTTCTTACAACCGCTAGCCATTAGATAACACACTCGAGAAGACAGGTTGCCACTTAGTGATAGTTACATTTTTTATCTGTAGGTTCACCATGTGTGCTTTTTTCACTATTTTCCATAGATACTAAATATGCCATACTTTAATTACAAATAAATACTTTTGTGGGAATGGTAGACTGTCCAGCCATATGGATTGCTGTAATATTGATAGGTTGAAACAATAGATCAGGATGCAAATAGCACAGGCGTCATCATTTTAACAGTAAACACTAATACAATATTATGTGAAAGTAATCTGGTAAATCTGCCGTTTGGTATAAAAGGGAGGTTACTTTGCAAAAAGTCCTTACAACCATATTATCTCCCCTTAGACCACAACCGGTTTCAACAAACTATATAAATATTTTAATAAACGTAATTCGTGAACGGGTAAAGGCAAATCCCTTTGAACCAAAGGTTAATAAAAATTAATTAATTTGTATGAGTAAATTAAAAGCCATGCCAATGAATTTGTGATTATAATTAATGGCTGACTTATGAAAATTCATCTGTTTTACATTACAGCAGGTCAATAATCTCAAAAAGAAGTTTTTAGATCGAAATTTGTATTTCCTGTGTTGCCTATTAATGAGAAGGAAAGTTTGTCAATGTAAGTGTATAACAAGGAGTAGGGTCAACTGCCTTAATTCACAGGTATTCTTCCAATGCTAAATTACAATGAAAGTGAATAATGAAAATAATGTTGTATCATATGTTAATGACAACATATGTTGACAAGAAGAGATAAAACATTTCTCACTGTCTATAATAACAGGATATTATTTGCCACCAGCAAACAGAAAGTTTGTTGTGTAAGTATGATATGCATACAAGCATACAAGTGTTATGTATGTTTCAATTATTCTTTTGCCAACATGTTGCTCATTTAGAAGATATTCCTCTGTCTGATGTCAGTAAATCTTTAGGAGAGGGAGAAATGGGGTTTAACATCCACTAACCAGGTCATTTCAGGACTAAATTTTAGAACCATGGAACTGGTTTCATCATAGAAATAGATACTGTATATATTTCTATGGTTTCATACACTTCACTTAGTAATTTCTGCCAATTCGAGTATGATTTGGACAATTGTGCATGGATTGACAGTCTTCAAGTTTTAATATGTAACAATTCGAAGATGGCTGTTATGACGTTGTGCCCGTTTCCTGGTTGATAATGTAAACATGCACTTGTTATTGCAATAAACAATGCTACTTATGATAACAGGTATTTTAACTAAAGTAAAACAAAATTATATCTGCATAAGAAAGAGCATACTCCTCGCAATGTTTCGTTTTATTAGACCTAATCCCACTTAACACTGGAGTAACGAAAGCAAATTTCTGTTCCAATTTATGACTGGTCAATAGTCTGATTAACAACCAAATACCTAACTGCATAATAATATCATTCGGGTTTAAAATAGAGCTCCAGATATGTTAACATAACGCTACGTCGTGACTCACGGAATTTATTACGCTAAATTAAACAGTGCTAAGCAGAATATTGCAGAAAAACTAATTGCATGACAAACGAGGCTATCAAAATGGCTACAATGTAAACAATACTGCTTGAAGACAAACATACTTTCGCCTTTTTTAATACCTTAAATCACTGTCAAAAGTTTAAGGAAGACCACAGGTTAAACGAAGGACTTTCATATTGTTGTACTTAAGAGAGATTTGGTTTAACGGGAAGGATAGACACAATCCCTCAAGAGCTCAAGTATCAGAAGTCAATCCAGCAGTGGCCAGAGAGGGATTTCTCGTTCAGGAATATGAAGAAAGACAAGTTAAAAAAAACAATATTTTAATCAACAGTTTATTAACACTCCATTCTTCAAAATGTAAAAAGATAACAAATAATAATTATATATATAAAGGGAAATCAGGCAAGATTAACAACTAAGTTGATGATAAAAAGTCTTTCAATATTGATCAATAAATATATCCAAATTTAGCTTAAACCTGTTAAAACAATAGGAAGTCTTAAGCATCATATTCAGGTCTTATTTTAGATAAAGTTGTACTCAAGATAAATTTGTACTTTAGCGATTTTGAGTTTCTAAATATTACCACTTCATGATATTATTATATAAATGTTTTACAATTAAACTATCTGAGATTCAATAATTATCTATCTGGTATTTCTTTAAAGTACAATTTCAACAAAAGTAAGACTTCCCAAACAACACTAAATCTACATGTATAGAAACACACACATATATTTGGCAAATCATTATATGACTTAATATAAACTAAACCTTAATACATGTACAACATTACATTTGACTTCTTTTCTTGTTTTGGGGGGTTGGATAGTCAAATGGTTAACATGTGCGCACTGTATCATAAGATCTTTCATTGAGTCAACTGGCATGGTTTTGATTCCCTGGTAGGGTCGCCTGTCCCACCTCGTGGGTTTTCCCCGTGCCTCCAACTGCTATAGACCCCTACACGCTAGCAAATTATTGAAATAAAATTGAACCGTGTGTTAGTCCCGAAATAACCTAGTTTGTATCCAGTGGACGTTAAACACCATTTCTCTCTCTCTCTCTTGTTTATATTCATGATACTTGGAACAACAAAGTAAAAATATCAACACAAATCACTTCTAAAAATGTAGAAATTATTATATTGAGCAGTATTTTACATTATATAGATATTGCATAATACCATTGATTACTATATTTATCATGATGTATTATTGAACTTATATTAAAACAAAATGTAAATTTAACACCATACAATCATTAGAGATCTTAATCTTCACACATTTAATAAAATGATTTCTTTTTCTGAATATTAGTTAGCTAATTTAAAAATTTATAAAACTATAACTAAATAAATTAATAATAATGATTTTTTTTTCTGGATATTAGTTAGCTAAAAGTAAAAATTTATAAAACTATAACTAAATAAAGCCTACAGTCTAAAATGTATTCAAATACATTGCTATCCTTGTGAAGTATATGTAGGATAACAAATAGATGAGTGCTGTTGTTGCCATGTAAGAGAATGCAAGAGCTGTATTAAATAAAATTGAATTTACTGGGTCAATAATTTAATATTTCTGGGTCATTAGCAATATACTTTCAGATATTAAGTTCTTGAGGTCAAATACATAACCTAGTTATGTATGTAAGACAGGGTCATTAAATTGCAAGTGATGCTGCATTGGCCCTAATTGAACAATTAATGTGTTTATCATCTTTGGCAATATGTGGATTGAAAGATAGAAATAAAACATTAAAAAATATATAAAAAATTGCCTAATTAAATATATTAGTTGAATATCATTATTACTAAACCAGATTAATTCAGTGGTCTTTGTCCTGCTACTACCAAGGATGTTAATATTTGTTGTTTTTTTCCATTAACTCTAATAATTGCAACACTAGATTTATTTCTAAAGCTATTTGCTTTCTTTATGTGGACCAATTATTGGTTGCCTTGCAACCTACCTGTCCAGAGTGACAACCAATGTCACATGCTCAGATTCTATTTGAGATTAGAGATTACACAACAAGGATGGATATGGTCAACTGTCATATCTTTATCCAAAAAGCAACTAACATATTGTGAGGAAACACACTTCCATTCAGAATCCTAATGAAATTTCTGTAGTCAGGTTTCCTTGAGAGTTAGGTTGACCAAAATTTTGGAAGAAGTTACAAAGAAATGAAATACATACCGTAAATATATTATTAGTAAAGACCACTAGGTCTACTCTACACACATAGCCTACTGGAGGGGATCTAGACCACTGACCATATTTAGTTTTCAAAATTATTAGGGAGCACAATTAATATCATTAAATTTATCCAGTTTGTTTTGTCTACTAGGAGAGCTTCCAAGTAATACAACTTTTTCTTTTTCGTATTATTGCTTTCTGCTTTCAAAAACTCTAGTTTTTACTTTTTAACAACCACACCAAATGCAGGTGTTCAATTAAGCCATTTTTTTAGACTCGGAGAAAGTACTTGAAATACTTTTAAGAGACAAAACAAACCAAATTTTCATGAGGCATAATGATCGAATTGAGTGGTATTGATTTTACCCTGCATTTATATCAATCAACAAAAAAAAATGACATTAAAGTTTATAAATGTTCCGGATGATTTCTTAAACAATTAACAAACTCTTTAGGATCCATCTTTCTTTCACAGATATTATGTATTGCCACGAATAATGGAAACCTACAATAAAATAATGGAACAGAAATTAAAATGCACCTAAATCAGAAAACATTGATAAAAGCATTGTGCACACAGAAAACCATCTACTTTGAGAATAGATCACACAGACTAAGTGTCAATAAACCAGCAGCTTTGTATTGTTCTCAAGCTGAGCTAATTGTAGACAGACTGTATGTGTTTCATTTCAGATAATAGTAAATACTTTCTATACACTAATGTATACTGTCATCCTGTCTAATATTGTGAGCCCTCTACAGGTCACAGTTCTTGACAGACTTGTTTTCAAATTATCAGGGATTGTGGGAAAAACCCTTTAGAAATTCAGAATATTTTTATTGCAATTCTCAATATCTTGTGAATGTGATACAGAATTTGTCAAAACTAGATCAGATGGTTCATTGGGGAATTAGGAGAAACTGTATCTAAAATATATCCTTCAGTTTACATTTTTCTAAAATTACCTGGATAAAAACAATTATTGCAGTTCATTTAGTTTGGGCAGCCATTTTGACAGAACTTCAAAGTTCGCGGGGAAAAAGGTCAAGGTTCATTTGGCACATGCGCAGTAATCTGTACTGAGAACCGTTCTCAGACTAGATAGTGTTTACACTATGAAATTTTAACCATGCCATGTCTGGCACTGTGCCGTGACCACAAAAAATTTACCTGTGTCGTGCCTGGCACGCTTAAAATTTGTAATGTAAACAGGGTTTAAATTTTTAATTTCAAGCACTATAACTTACATTACCTTATTCCTATATTTTATTATTTTTTAAAACTCACTAAAATACTTCTATGATGCCTTTTATTTCAAAAGATTAAGTTTCATTCACATAAAATTATTAAAAGATTTATTTGTTTTTAACTCTTTAGTTAAAACTGCATAAATTTCCACATATGCCAGCTCATTAGACATAGAAGTGTTGATAACTATATATGGTTGCAGGGCTTATCTTTTAATACTTTACTTCTGGTAATGGAAAATAATATGCCTTTGTTTAACACAACTCAATTCTACAAATTAATTCTGTAACAAATGTTTACCTGTTTAACATATCTTTTTCTTCCAGCATTCCATAAATTTCTTTGGCTACTAATGGACCTTGGAAACTTTGACCTTTCAAAATTTCTTTTTCAAGTTCCTTTAATGACTGCAATAGAAAAGCAACTCTAAAGTAATGAGTAAATGTTAAGTTTTATAAGAGTTGTCTATTTAGTTCCTAGTTTATTTGAACGCAGTTATGAATTAGGGCTTTCCCAAATATATACCGAGATGCAATGAAAATGCACCTCTTTTATAAAGGGATGATTTTAAATCTAGTTTGAGAGATATACTTTAATCTTCTAATTCTGAATGTAACGACATCAAGTGACTACTATAACACTGTCATGAACTTTTATAGAGACATTTAATTTTATGCAAATTTCATTTAAAATCACTTTATCTTATAAGATATACAGACCTTTGTTGATTTTACTACATTCTCCCCTAACAATCTGTTTCTACCACCATGACATGTTGCTACTAAATCAGCGATACCACAACTTTGAAAAAATGTACTTGTTTTACTGCCTGTAATACACAACTATATATTTACACTGTTCATTTAATCAAAGTATATACAATAAAACATTTACAAGCAATCTGGTTAAAACACAGATCCTATTTCCTTTCGTTTTTTATAGTTCAAAATTTCGTTTTACTTGTCTTTACTACACTAGGATCTGGAAGAGTTGTTATTTAACTCGTGTTCTGAATGGTGTCAGGGATAAGCCAATGAAACGGTCTGTTACGGCGAGCTTTAGGCGTGTTTTGCATGGAACTGTGGGTAATCCACTAGTAACATCAATGCTGATTGGTTAATCAAATGTCTTACGTCATAGGGTCAAAAGTCTGTCTTTTGACCCTAGACGTGACCTATCGCTATAACTTGTCAGATCTTCATGTAGTGTAGGCCATTGAAAGTATAAAACACGAAACGAAATATAGGTCTGTATTTTAATCTGATTGCTTTACAAGATGCATGTAGATAATAAGCAATTCTGGAGAACTACACAAGAACACATAGACAAAACAAATAATACAAGAATATAAATACTTAATTCCAGAAAAGAAATACAACTTTAACAGAAAATAGATAAGCCTACATATTTCCAGAAAAGATACATAAGTACTATCTGTACAATGTTGTCTCAATGTTTTTGAAAAGTAAAAAGAGTATAATAATCACTAGGAGAAAAGCCATCTTAAGTCTTGAATTTGATAGACATAAATGTGTCATCCATCTGTCATGTAATGGTACTGGTGATTTTAAGACAAAAAATGGTGGCAATTTACCAGTAGTTTTAGAAGTTGCATTCCAGGTTGGAAATATTTATATGTGTATGACATAAAAAATTACAAGTTTCCATTATTAATTGTACGTTTTAACTGAAAACAGATCTTTACAAACCTTGAAAGAAAACTTCAGCAAATTTTATCATTTCCATTAGACCCAATCTTTGTACTGCTGCCTTAGTATTATCCCCATATCCCATACCATCTACAATACCAGCCCCGATAGCTACAACATTCTACATTGCAAAAGTTTCAAATGTAATATTATACACAATACCAATACACATACATTCAACAAGGAAAAGAATATGTTCCACATAATGTTTTTATTCATATTAGGGATAATTTTCTTTATAATGCCACACAAAGGACTGTACCTTTGGTATAGTGGTGAGATATACTGTCCAGATCTGGTTGTATTCACGCTGTCAATTGAATTTGTATTACTAACAGAAGGTAGAAATACATTGCTATTGTGAGTCTCTCTGCTTTGAATCAGCAGGTCACATCAATAAATGATGAAGATGGCCATACGGCAATTGAACTTCAACTGTCATGATTTCTTTTACGTGAATGGGACCTCGATTTTCCGACCCATCAGAACTAGATGCTGTTCCTTGTCATGCCCTCCATCCTGCAGTCTGACTTGGGGAAACAAACCTGGAAAAACGTAATAAATTTCCTCGGCCAACACAGGATTAAAACCAGGGACCTTCAAGTTAGCGAACCAGGCACCTATTCACTGAGCCATCGCAGCTCCCCATTAGGAAAAAAGTTCTTCACATACAACACTAAAAGTTACCTTTAAAGCACCACATAATTCTACTGTATCTGTATCTTCTACAACAGAACAATGGAAGTATTGTGTTTCAAATAATAGCTTTAGTAATTCACCTATTTCTTTATCTTTACTTCCTGAAAAATATGCATAGAAGCAAAAACAATAAGAAACACGCATATATGCTTTTTTAATCATTACAAAATCTCAAAAGACAAAAGGTCCAAGGGTCTTGTACCGGTAATTGCCCATCGTTTACACAATATTTCCATAATTAAATGTTGATCTCTAATGAGCTTATTTGATACTATTTAAAGGTGTGATTTCATATAACCCGATTAGATAGATTATCTTCATTGCTCAAAACACATACCAATAGTTGTTTCACAAAATTGTTCACTGGCAACTTCTCCTGCTAAATTAGCTCCACTTAAAACACCACATGGTATAGATAAAATATCACTTATAAGACGAGAAATTAACTGTATTCCTTCTTCTGAGATTGCGAAACCCTAAACATAAACATTGAAATTTAATTTTTTGAAAATTATAGTATGTCATGTACCAAGAATCAAAACTTATTTCTGTCTCAATTTCTCAAGCATTAATAAACTTCAGTAGCAATGGAAAACATGTATGAGACATCTTTAAACTTAATTTCAGCACCAACCGATCTGGCTACCTTCCCTCGTTCGACTCTAGTATAATAAATAACCATACCTTTATTAATGAGACAGCAATGGCTGATGTCTTTATTTTACCTTGAAGTTCATTACAGATCTTTTTAACAAACTGATGCGGTAACACAAAAATAAGTATGTCAGCATCTTTTGAAGCTTCTAGTAGATTAGGAATAGCTACCTGTAATGTAAAAGTTTTTGACGGAAATTACACTCACAGCGAACACTTTTAGAGCTAGGGTGCTTGGCAACGAATCATATGCCCATAGCAGCAAAGTTGTCTGAGCAGTCCACAAAGGCACAAAGGTTGTCAAATTGTGAATCTTTCAAAAACTCTTATTACCTAGTACAGTATAATATCACTGGTGCATTGACAAGATTAATTGATATCATCAAGGGCAATAATGTTATCAGTAATTATCAGAAATAGTTGAAATTCAATAAAATAAACAATTACTAAATGCCATTCAAACAGTATGAAATTCAATAGGTTGAACTATGCATATAAATTGAATTTCAAGCAGATCAGATGTTAACTTTTGTCAACAGAGCATTCACAAGACTCTGCAATGGGAACAAAATGAAATGAAATGAGGTTATACAACAAACTAGGCTAATGAAGACTGGCATATGTCATGCAGTGTGGTATGAGTGAAAATTTGAACGGACAATGACGCTACAACCTACTTCTAATTCAAAAAGGGTTCTTTTACATGTCCTCCAACATATACATTGAACCTCTATTTTTTTTATCCTATTGAACTGACATGGGGAAATACTTTTGAAAATCCAAAGGTACTGTCTTGGCCATCATCTCGATCAAACCCGGTTAGTGAACCAGCCCAAGCCCCCCCCCCCCGCTACTCAATGAATCACGTAAGTGGCTCCAACATAGTGAACATGTGTAATAAGTAAGTAACATAAATTATTGAAACTAGATAGGCTTTATCTTTTTACTAATTTAGACAATCAATATGAATCTGAAGACCATTTTTGTTGCGAGAGTGTTCAAAAGATTATACAAAATGAACAAGAGCCATAATTCAAGATGTACTTAACATAAATTGTAGAAATACGAAGAAATTCTTTGTTTCGCAATGCACACAATGGTCGTATCAAAAGAATAAATGAGATATCTTACCACATTTTCTGGAAGTTTGATACCTGGTAAATATTTGATATTTTCATGTTCGGTGTTCACAATTTCTGTCAGTTTCCTTCCATTAAATTCTTCTTCATACATATACATTGGTACACGTTCTTTAAAATATTCGCTTCTTTCCTTAACATTATTGCCAACTATTTTAGCAATTGCTGAGCCCCTGAAAAATATGATTAGAGAATCTAATATGTTTTATCAAAATTTATGAAATAACAGTACATCATAAAATACACTTTTACATGTAAATGGCTTCGGTATTAACCAGTCTGATTAGATGGATATGATTCTGATCATTTAGAGTGTGTTTTACCCAATCAGAGCTTTGATTATAGTACCGGTACATGTACTCCCATGTAATTCAAACCATCACAAATACCCTAAGTTGTGAGGGATATCATTCTGAACATCCTCTTGTTCACTTAAAGAAAAAATATCAGATACATGTATATTCTAGTTAATAAAACAGGCATAGTCAAAGCCGCGACAAAATAGACTTGAATAATCAAGACTATCAAATAAATAAAAGGCAAAAAGAATAATATAATATAAAATATTTCAATGTCTTCACATTTGTGGTACTGAAAATTAATAAGGTTCCTAAGTTAACTAATATTAATAAAATGAAATTTATATTGCAGTTTTATTCAGCAATTTAACTTTCAATTTACGAGGTGCACTAGTATTTTATTTTTTATAAAAATGAAATGAAATGGTGTGCTATTAGAGAAATATTGTCTTGACAGCACCATGTTTCCGCTTACTTTTTGTTGAATTCCAACTGCCCTGGGTTCTTTTGCTTTAACGTCAATGTAGCTTATATCATATATATGGGACCCAGAGCTGGGAACAAGTCGCGGGAGTCCGAGTGCAGTCTTAAGTCGCGGGAGGTCGAGTCCCAATAGCTGCACCTCGAGCCTGAGTCGATTCCCAAGTCGCTGACTTTAGTACCAAGTCGAGTCAAGTCCCAAGTCTTACCAAAGCCCAAATCCCATTCAAGTCGGCAGTACATCACGACTGCCGAGTCCGAGTCGCAATAAATATTTAAAGTCGAGTCCAAAGTCGGGACATAGATGCGACTTAAGTCTGACTGATGGAACCTTGGTTTTTCTTCCCAACTACACTTCCTTGTCTGGCCTTTGTCCCACACCTGACAAGGAATTTACCATGCTGGAGAATCCTGAGGAACGTTCACAGCCAAAACCCGAAACAAACATGGGACATCGTGGTTATAGTGAACCGGCGCTTAAGCACTGAGCCATGATATGGCCGATCCCTTAGTGAGTGGTTCAAGGAGTTCTTCAATGGTTATAATTATCAAGCTGTGTGTACTAAATTACTAATGCACGTTTAGATAAAAAAAATATCAAACCCACTTTTCTGTTTATTTTTTTTTTATAATCACTGACGTGTGAACTGGATTTTTTTATGTAGCAGAGATGGAAATTAGTAAGCCCAAGTTATGGAGGAATTAAAGCACCAATTCTACGGATAATGCACGAGATAGGAATAATTAGGATATTTCTTTTAAAATAAAGGAAGAAGAAGAAACTACTAACATATAGAACAAAATAGATAAAAAAAAAGAAGAAAAAAGTATCGGCAAAAAAAGATACATAAGCCCACAGTTGTCGCATATTTATTCTTTTGTAGGTAAGCGAGCATTTACAAGATACTGATATCAATTTCATACAGATCGAATGATAACTTTTGTCGTGAAACAAGGACCAATATACATGTAATTATAGGCTTATTCGTTTTACTAATCTGAATAATGCATATAAATTTAATACAGATCGGATGATAAATTTTGTCATTAGAGTGTTCACAAGGTTTAACAAAGTGAAACCAGGGCCATAACTTTCGAAGTTATTAACGGAAATTGCTGAAATTCAATAGGTTGCTTCTTCTTCCTAATCTAAAGTATAAATTTAATACAGATCAAACGATAGCTTTTGTCTTATGAGAGTTCACGAAGGGTTCAACAAGGTGAAACAAGGGCCATAACTCTTAAAGTTATTAACAGATATTTCTGAAATGCAATAGATTTTTTCATTTTACTAATCTAAATAATATATATAAATTTAATACGTACAGATTGGATGATAACTTTAGTTGTTAGAGTATTCACAAGGTTCAACCAAGTGAACCAAGGGCCATTTAACTTTAAGGTAATTCATGTAATATTGTTGAAATTCAAATAGGCTTCTTCGTCTCACTAACGTAAATAAAATTATGGTAAACTGACTGACCATTTTTACGTAAATTTAACATCATGTTGTTATGTGCATGTGGGTTAACAGAATATTGTTGAAATTCAATAGGATTCTTCGTCTCACTAATGTAAATAATATATATAAATTTCAAAATGATCAGATAATAAATTAATGTAGACTGTAGAGAGTTCACAAGAAATTGTGAACAACGGACGGACGGACGGAGGCGACGATAATACGACCACATTTCCATGTAGGCGTCTGAAATGCAATTAAATGACAAGACTATACATCGGTTATGACCCGTCCTTGTCCTTTGACCTTCCCAATGACAACAAAGTGAAGGTCATTCTAGTTAACAATCTTTCTGTCGGCGAACTCGTTTGATCTATAAAACTAAGTTTAATTATGCAAGAAATTAAAATGTTTCAATCACAATCTTACCAATTGCCGGATCCAACGATGCATACGGATCTTGCAGACATGATTAATGCGTGACGAACGGTGGAAAATATCATCAGCGTACCTTTCGGTTCAAGCTAGATCATCCGGGCACCTGTCAATGCCGAAAACACTCGGCACACTCAGGCATCAAGCCAAAGCCAAATATTTTTTTCGAGAGAGATTAACTGAACAGATGCGGTTTAGCTACTTCATTAGATATCATATAAATTGGATGTTTTTACTCAATAATAATAATACTCTTTAATGAAAGGGCTAATAACAAATAATTCCAAATCCCCGCTACACAGTTTTTGGCGGAAAAATTGTTCACCTCGGGGTGGTGCACATTGACAATATATATAATAATATAGTATTGAAATATACTATTCAAAAAAAGTAGGGGATATTTGATTTTGGGGGCATAATACTAAAATATGCAAATGACTACGAAAAAAGTCACTATAGAACCTAACAGAAGAAACATTTCCAGTTACATGTGACGCCCAAACGCACCAATAGCTACCGCATGGAATGCAGGTGATGCTTGGGATCATCATGGGGGTCCAACCCAAGATTTGCACGACTCTGACTTTGAATGTTACAGTCATTGTGGCATTGAATTCCAGGGTGGAAACATCAGTTTAATTGTTTTAGTGACCAGAAAACAAATTTTGATATGCGTCGGCTTACCCAAAATGAAAGGTTACGTGCCCTTGGCATGCTACAGATCGGCACAACACAGGCGGTTGTGGCGCGGACGATGAATGTTTCTCAGTCTGTCATAAGCAGGCTATGGTCCAGATACCGTGATACACAATCTGTACAGGACAGACCACGCTCAGGTCGACCAAGGGCGACAACTCAAGCCCAGGATCGATTTATCCGTACCTTGGCCTTGAGAAATCGTGTCATCACAGCAAATCAGATCAGCGCTCGTCTTCAAACAGACACTGGTGTGAGAGTGAGTGGCCAGACGATTCGGAATCGACTGCATAGGGGTCACCTTCGCGCCCGACGTCCTCGCGTGATCCCTTGTTTGAGAGATCATCACATTCAGGCAAGACGTCGTTGGTGTAGGGATCGTCAACACTGGGATAATCGAGGCTGGAGCAATGTGATGTTTTCAGATGAGTCAAAGTTCACTGTTGATTTTTTGGACAGACGTAGGAGGGTGTGGCGTCGTCGAAAGGAGCGCTTCCAAGACGTTAACGTCATCAGACATGATCGATTTGGGGGTGGTTCTGTTATGGTGTGGGGAGGCATCACTGTTGCTGGAAGAACGGCTTTACATGTTGTTGCAGGGCGTGTTACAGGCCAGTACTACCGGGACAACATCTTGGCAGTCCATGTTGTGCCGTTCGCACGACGTCATGGCCGCCGTTTCATCTTCCAGGATGACAACGCAAGATGTCACAGGGCCAGGATCGTTACAGGTTACCTCCAACAACAGAACATCACCACATTACTTTGGCCAGCACTGAGTCCCGACCTCTCCCCCATCGAGCATGTCTGGGACATGCTTGGACAGAGGTTACGTCAACGTCAACAACGTCCTGCCAATGTCCAAGAACTTGCTGCTGCGTTGCAACAGGAATGGGACAATCTGGACCAAAATGACCTTAGACGTCTCATTAGGAGTATGCCACGTCGGATCAATGCTTGTTTGGCAAACAGAGGAGGATTTACCCGTTACTGACTTGGTTGTGATGCTGTGGTAACTTTGCTGTTTGACCCCGGGTATCATTTTACCCTTATAATGGTCAGTATGTGCCTTACTTAGTCTAACGATCATTTGGAATAAATAGATGAATGTGAACTTCATTTCATTTTGTCATTTGTTTCTTCGTCAGTTTCATTAGGTGACTTTAATAACACTTAAAAATCAAATATCCCCTACTTTTTTTGAATAGTATATATACCCCGGAAACAGAAAAGGACCACGACCCATTTTGGGGTGTCAAATTTTGAAAAGAAATAGCCATTGTTATAAAGTGTTTTCGATTTGACGCTACAATTACTGTCGGACTTCTAGCCTATTAAGAACATTAGTGCTCACATTAGCACGAAATAAGTCAAACTATTCGGAAATAGATAACTCATGATCATAATATATGCAATTGTCTCTTTTATCTCGTCATGGTATGCTTATAAGGTGACCAGTGCATATTCCTTTGAAGTAAAGCGGAACGTGTGCACAGATCATATATATATATAGTTTGTAAATGACATAAGGGATTAATTACATGTTTAATTAGATCATCGCCAGTCCGTGCCTTAACGGAAGTTTATACAGAGTTGAAAAGTAAATATCATATATTATCAAAAACCAGCTGAGATCATACAGTTCTAAGCACCTAAATGACAGTTCAATTTGATGAAAGTTATAGAGTTCTTGGTTACACTGGATCCTACTACCTTTTGACGTAGAGACATAATTTATTCATTTTTGGCAAATCTTCTCTACTGGTTTTGAAGAATAATACGTCTACTTCCCAAAATGTCCGGAGAAGTTTTTTTTGTTTTTTTTTTTGTAGTAAATTTAGATGCGGTGGCGTAGATTAAGCTGTTAAACAAAAAGTTTTCAGTGCAGTAGATCAAAAATGTATTTCCCCTCTCCACGAAAAGAACCACGCACCCTTAGCTATATGCGTACAGCATGCGATAGAATCTGTTCTGGACGTTTTCTAGCATGGTACATTCAAATAATCATTTTTGAAATTGAAAAAAAACCCCAAAAAAACAGACTTTGTCATATTATATTATACACCTTTGCAGCTTTGGTTGTTACTTCTAGAACTTAATTCCGACATTGCCCGAGAAAAATAAAATAAGTCTGTAGAATCTTTCACAAGACATAACTACTTTTCTCCGAACTTTTTGTATATTAAAGATGCATTATGTAAGAGCAAATCTGCCTATTGGAGATCTTTTTCTTCTGACCTCAAGTGTTATATAAATTATTAATTGGACATTTATTCACATGACAAGCCCATAATAAACTCTCTCAACCATCGGATTGTTGTGAGCTTAAACGGATTAAAAAACGATAGCCATTAAATAATTTAATTTAAAACTCAATAATCGAGACTTTGTTTATTATCATAGCAACGGCAGCAATGAAAAACGAGAGTATTCAGGCAGTCAGAATGATGTAATTTTACTTCAGGAATTTTCCATTATTATTCCTTTTTCGTTATCTAATTTTAATCTATTATAGCGAGAACTGTCGGCTAAATCTTACTCATCTTTATAGATATATTATGTAAGATTTAGATAAAGAGCTAGCCATTCTTGCTGTAATAGTCCGAAAATAGATAATGTAAAATTAATAATTTGAAAATTTCATTACAAACAGATCAGGGAATGTGGGAACCCTAAAAACATCAAGTGTCCTTTTATCATACATCAGACAGTTGATACAGACGAAAAGAGGGTGGGGGCCGGTGGAGCACTCTCCTACCTACCCGACACAACTTTTTGTGGATATGTCTTGAAGTCTTGAATAGGCTACAATGGGAAAGCTTCTCGGGATTAACACTGTTATTTACATTATCATTTATAAATGAAATGAAGTGGGCCGGGTTTATTTAACGTCCTACATTTCTGCTCGACACGTTAGGACTAAGGAAATATGCAGTTTTCGTACTGTTATGGAGTTGCCAATTTATCATAAATTGCTTTAAAACACCACAAGGTACAATCAGCATAATATTCTTTATTACACAAAGTGTATTTGTGTTTCTCAAGATTCAAAGAGCTTGAATAACTTTATTTTGCGTGGTCCGCTCTTAAATCACTTTGTCGGAAATATTAGGTGTTTCCCTGAATGGTTATAAAAATCATATCTGTGACGAAGGCTATCTACGGTAGGCCATGTGCACAGAGCCGCGGGGGGGGGGGGGGGGTATTAGCAGTCAGACCAGTCTCTGCGTAAGCCAGAAAGTAAGCTAGTACTTTTGACCAAATCACAGTCCAATTTGCACCAATGAAAGCAAGGAAGGCGCAGTTGTAAAGTTCGTGTAATGCCATGATTTTTTAGTTATAAAAGAACAAAGAACTAAATTGACTCGTATAATTATTGAGCTGTCAGACAGGGCCACGGGGGTACTGCTGACACCAACCCGATAATATTGGCCCAAATTGCACCTTTTTTTTCGGAAATTTTAATCATTAGAAAAGGTCTCCCCATAGACCTTATAAATACATTATAATACATTATTAGGCCTATATATTATAAGGGTCCATGCCCCCCCCCCCCCCCAAATTGTGTTGGCTAAACCAAAACTGACAAAATTAAATAGGTATAATTTAAAATACAATTCTGTCATTGAGTCGGGCAAATGGACATTTTCTGGGAATTCATGCTGTTAATGGGGAGCTGGGCACAATCCAGAAAAGTGGCAGACACGCGCCAATCTCCCAAACAGACTTGTGTGGAGATTGGACACGCGCTTGATGTCTATTGGTGTAAGCGGCAGTCGGGCATGGAAACTATTTTTCTTGGTATAAGCGACCCACCATTTCAGACACGTGGTCACTGTTTCTTCCGGAAGGTGCAAGAAAATATAAACAACATTGAACATATGGAAAGATTATTTTGACTGAAAGTAAGCTAGATATCTGCGATTTAATAAAATGGTTATTATCAATATTTTCTTAAATTTGAAATTGTGTTTACCAAAAACAATAACGGCATGACGAATTTTTAGTAAACAATGTTACTCAATCAAACCGCATGTTTTGTTTATTTTTGACAAACTTCGCTCTTAAGTCTTAGTCTTGTTAAATTACACATCCTTAGACCTTTATGTTAAAAAATATCACATTCATATTTCCTTCCCATCCAATTTTGGAATGCTATTCAACACTTAAAAGACCTATTGTGTGGCCCATAATATTTATTTACGTCTACCGGTAGGCCTTCTTGTTTATAATTTATTCTTTATTGTGAAATCTTTTAATTGACTTGATTAAATTAAAGTTGCAGTTGGTGTACGTGTCAGTCAAATAACCGATGAATTATTAATAGAATTTGTTTTAAATTGTTGGTATAATTTCAGATTTAATTAGTTGTCTTTAAAAATGGCTGAACACGATAATGTGGAAAATATACCCATTGATATTCACTACAATAAACTTTTAGGTAAGTTTAATTTGAATATTATATATTTTATTTGAATTAATAAGAGAAGCGTCTGGAAATGAAAGCAAACATTTATTTACCCAGCAGCCACCCAATATTAGGATTGTGCCATTTTTTAGTATACACCGAGTTATTACAAGCTCATAATTGGAGGGTCTAGAGCACAAGTGATCTAACAACCAACTAAAATGGTTGGTAGTTAGATCACTTGTGCTCTAGACCCTCCAATTCATATCAAGATATTTAAGCTCTTGGTTTCACATTACACCCACCTACATGTATGTGTTGTATCGTCACAACTCTACAATATAGTGGTATCTTATAAATCTTCAAATCATACGTAGCTCTGAATTATATTATCTAGACTGGTTAATTAACAGAAGACATTGTAATTCACAATGGCAAGGGAAAAGTTTACAAGTACGAGAAAAGATTGATGCAGCATTAGTAGATGTACCAGATGTAAAGGAAGTGACAGCTTTAACAGAAGGAACATGTAAGTTGTATTTAGAATGCAGAACAATAATATCATACATTTACCGATTAAACTGGGCTCATATTAATAAGTGTAAACTGAAAGAGGCATCAGTATAAGCATTTTAGGTTAATGTTTGTCAGTTGATAAAAAGAATAGTTTTTGATTTAACTATAAGCTTAGAGTTGGGGATGTGCTTATTAGATTGTATATAAATTTAGAGACAAATTTGTGACTCTGGGATATAGGGCCTACACATGTAAACTGTCAATGTATGGATAGATTTTGTGATCGTTTTGAAGTTTTCAAGGAATTGAAAGCATTTTTACAAAAAATATATGTTACTCTAAGTCAATCAGTACTTGGATTTTCAATTATTCTTTGAATAATGGGAGCGATACTATTTGATTTTACAAAGTTTAAAAAGAAAAAATGCCAGAATTAAAGTTAATTTCAATTTTTTTCAGACCTTAATTATTTTCATTGTTTGAAGATAGTTGAATTGTTACAAGCAACAGACTCTGGTAAAAAAAATGTTTTCGGTCAATATTCATCACAAAAAATGCAAGTATGTATTTTGTTTTATTTTGATGTATGAAACATTTATAACATTATAACTAGCTACTCTGTGGAGCATAGATGCAAAATGATTAGTTTGATTGGGAGAAAAATGATTAGATTGATTGCAAGAAAAATACAATATTCTGTGTATTCTACATTATGGGATATCTTCTCACCCTTAGCCCGTCTTCATTAGCCCAGTTGGAGCAGAACAATAGGATGATAAACCCCATTTCATTTGTATTTTCAGGATTGGGCCAACATTGTAAAATTATATGAGAAAGATGGAATGTTTCTTGGTAAATATTTTATTTTTTATAAATATGCTAGCTTGTAAGGATTAAATTATCAGTTCATGTGTGCTGAATATAAACATAAAGGTCTTTAGATTGAGGTGATCAAAATTAAAGTGACACATCAATTTAAGTATTTTATATGGTCAGTATTCCAAATTTATCAGGGAGAAAAGTGTGTTAAAAATTACTGGAAATCTATGTTTTATATTTAACTGTATACTGTAAGTTTAGAATTAGTTGATTTTCCTATTGCATTTGATTTATATTTACAACAAGTTTGATTTGAATACTTAGAAATCTAGATAATCATGCTACTTTGGGTTCTCAATTAAACGGTTTTCTTAATTTAGAAATATTTTAAGTTGAAAACAGGCAAATTCTTTTGTTGACTCAGGAATGATAACAATTTTCATTCGGATGAAACTACGTTTTTTTTTTTAGAAGCATGGATCCACATAATTTGCCATCAGTCATACTTATAGTATTGTAAAGTAATTAAAATTGGAAATAAAGTATCAGTATTTCAAATTATTTTCTATGAATTCTAATAAGTTTATATGTATTTACAGCTGAATCGGCTCAGATGTTATCTAGAAACGTAAATTATGAAATACCAGCTTTAAAGAAACAGTTAGCAAAATGTCATCAAACTCAAGAAGTATGTTTATTTGTTTGAAATTCTGTGTTTCATGTTTCTGCACATTGTACATACAGTAGGATAGTTCTAGTATGCAATTCTATATACTTCATATCAATTAGCATTTGAAATTTGATTTAATCCGCCACACTTCATTACAAAGTGGTAGTACATACCATGCATTTAAGGAAAGGGTGCAATTATTGAGGTGTTTCCCGTAAAGTATAGTTTATTCGCCTGCTGTATGTTGGTTAATTGGGTATGTTCAAATTCCTGTCCTTATATCATATTTGATTAATGTAATGTAATAATATTTTCATTTTATCAGTTCATGTTATTTCTTCATGTTCTTTTCATATTATCCCTGTATTATTAAATGTCAAATAATCTATTTTTGTTTGATTGGACATTGATGTATGTATGCTGTCCTTGAAGGACATGATATGGATTTTATAAAAGTTGAAAGTATTGACAAAATATATTCCCATTTTATCTTTTAGTAGGCTGTAATTTACAAGTTGTCTTTTATTTTTCTGTTTATAATATTTAGGAATGTACAAGAAAAGAGAGAGATTATGCTAACAATGCTATCAATCAAAGAAAGAATTATGAATCAGCTTGTAAAAAGATGGGAATAGTGGTATGTTACTTGTATTATATATTACCGGTAGTTGGACCAATATAGATTCAAATAGCGATTTCAATTGTAATGTATCACAGATTTTTGAGAGTTCAAATTGTGCAATATCAACGTATAAATACCTTATGTACTTAAAGTTGAATTGCAAATTAGAAATCTGCTATTGTACAGATGATTTGTAATATGTAAAACAATAAAAGTAATTTATCTGCTATTCTAGGCCAAGTTGCATCCTTTTTGACTTAATCATATACTCATTTATACAAAATATCATTTATTGTTTATATATACTGGCTGTATATAGACTATTCATGCAATGAATTATGGGGATTATTGACTCAATTCACCAGTCTGCAATTCTTGAATTCATCCAGTGCAAGACCATTTTCTTTTCTTGGCCAAACAAGAATGCCTGAAATCCAGGTTTATGGTGAATATTTAAACAAGTAAAATCATTATTAAATTTGAATCTAAAGGACACATGATCGGTTTAATTATTGAATGACATAATTTGAATTGTAAATTATTTTGGGCTCATGAATTTCAGGGAAAGAAAATAAAAACAGAGTTAGCTTCCTTGGTTCATGATTTACCTACAGAGTTTGATAAAATAGCTAAATGTAGTAAACAGCTTGAACCAACAGTTTTGTACTATGATCAGTTTATAACTCATATAATGGGTCGGTGAGTAATTTATCAACAGATGGATCCTTGCTAAACTATTATCGATCAATCCTGTAGTCTCTATTTGGCAGTGAATCATCTGATCTTCCATTGAAAATCGTAATTACACAGAAGTAATTGACTAATTAAAAAGGAAACAAATCTGTATAGGCTAAACATGTGTTACTGTTGCAGTGATTTTAATTTTTATCCCCATGTAGAATCGTCTGCGGAACATACTTTAAGTTGTATTATCAGTTGATCAATTTAATAGTAAGTGCAGGGGGACTGCACCACACACAATTACACGAAACAAATCTACGGACAAGACACAATACGCAGAAATCACAAGCAAACTTACATATCAGATTAAGTGAATGCAGGGCTCACACTGTCGATCGCCAAAGTCGCAATTTGCGATAAAACTATGAAAGTGGCGATTAAAATTTGATTTTGGCGATAATGTTTCGCGGTACTGGCGATTCTTTTTGAGAACTGGCGGAAAAAAATCTTGAAATTCTAATCGTATTTATCCTGGATTAACCATTTATTTAGTGAGTGTCAATCACGTGGCGAGATACTATAAATTAATCAACTGGCCGCCAATAATCCAGATCGCGTCAATGAGTAATACTAATCAGTTGTCTTGGATTAATGATTAGTTGATTGATAATTGTGAATGATATATATAAAGCCTATGTCAAGTAATTATTTACCCCTACTTGATTAATCCAAGCAGTGATTAATTGATGTTTCGTTTCGTCCTAAAATAAATGATAATACATGTAATCAAAATGGCCGACAGTTCCTTGCAAAGATAATTAAATATTTTGATAGCTGAATTCGTTTACAGGGATTCATATAAGTCATGTAAAAATACAAGCATGCGTATTGGATATCATTATTCCAAATTATAATATCACCACTGGACGAAAACGTAAGAACGAGTTGAATAGTGACGATTCTTGAGCGAGAAAACAGTTCGCCATTTGTATCTTATTACTGTCGCCAAAATGCTCTAAAAGTTAACGACGGGTATATTGTAAGCATCTCTTAACAAATATAATTGAAATTTATACCATTCTGTCAGGGATCAGATTCTGATATCTTTACGGTACCTGAAAATAACAATAGGCTTATTGTGCACGCAACACATAAATTTATAGAAAAATAGCAATCCTTGGATGAGATTTGACGTTTAAATACTGAAAATATATTGTGCAGTACGGTGTTCAAATAGATTGAAGTCACCAAAAATAAAATCTGATCTTATTAAATCCAAACTTTGCTAATCTATTATGTAAAGAAAGATTTTTAAAGCTGTTGTATATTGTATTGTATATATCGGTAACTGTTTTATAATAAGCCTAGCTGAGACATAAAATGGTTAGGTGTTGTCTTTTTATCACACATTTTTAGCAGATAAAATATTCCAGTTGGCGGAAAAAAATATGAACATTTTTTTTATATTAAAATTATAATCCATTTTGGCGGAAAAAAATCGAAAGCCAGTGTGAGCCCTGAGTGAATGGATGTTAGATGTAAACACTACAGTTATAATTATTTTATACTGTAATACTGTTTCAGAGATTTAAGCAGTGAATCTTTAAAAGCATTAAAACATGTTCAATCAAGAGGTAATACTACAACCTTTGAATGGAAGACTGGTAAAATACCTGATAAAGTGGAAGCTTCATCTATATTAATAGATACAACAGATGAAGATGATTTAGTAGAAAATCCTGATGATGTAAGTTTGTATAACTAGTAATTCCATTAAAATTATTTATAATATCTACCATTACAGGATATAAATGTACAGACTTCTTCATTTTGTATCACAGACCTTTAGTTGGTATCAAGGAAAATTGATGCTCTGCTCTCCCCCGCATGAAGCCACAGTTGCTGTGTGAGGGCTCACTAAATAGGAGGTTCTGGGTTTGATCCCTGTATTGTTGAAGAAAGTTTCTCAGGATTTTCCTGATTGGTTTTCTCCTTGTCAGTCTTCTGCCTGGAAAGGAAAAGCATCTTGACCAGAATGAGTTCCACATGTGTATGTGTTGCTGTGCACATAAAAGATTTTTTGACAGTTGGAATTCAGTGAAGCCAAATTTTCCTCATAGCACACAGCATGGCATTTACCTGTATTCATTAGCCTGGTAATTCTAGCCTGATACAAAAGCATATGTGCCACCCCCCCACCCCCCCACCCCCAGGGGATACGGAAATAAACATGAAGTCATGAACCCTTCAGGAGTTTTGGGTATTTTTAAAGAAAGGTGTGGGTTATTTACTAATATATACTTATTTTATTATGTACATGTAGATTGATTGGATTGGTGAACAAGAAACAATAGACTTTGGGGCAGAGATAGATTTTGGTGATATAGCTGATATTACAGTAGAGAGTGGGGGAGATGAAATGGGCAATGGGGAAATTAATTGGGAAGATGATACCACTAAACACTCTGTTCAAGTTACAGAATCTTCTGAAGGTAAAGGAATAATCAACAGTAATAATTATTTTTTATATTTTTTATTGAAAGCCAACATCGAAGTGAACAACTTCAAGATAAAATTCAATACTTCTTTTATTGGTAAACAACGCGGTATTGCCACATCTTTAAAATGGCTACTAAGATATTATCAGAAATAAACAAGACTAAGATGGTTTTAATAATTTAAAGAAGATTTTTTTTTTTTATAAGCAATATTTTATTCAGATTTGTATCTGAATAGGGATTGGGGAACAGGCATAGCCTATATTAAACCCCAGTGATTAACTTCAGACTAGATTGTTTGGTCCCTTACAAAATAATCTAGAAAGATTATTTATTTATTTATGAATGAGAGCATGACAGGAATTGTTTAAATATATTTTGGTTTGTTTATTAGATGGTGTAGCTAAAGGTGAACTTGCTTTAAGTATGTTAGAAAATCCTGATACCCGAAACATGTTTTTAGACGATCTGTTTGAGGTAATTATTTTATATTCACTACAAACTTCAGAAAAAGAAATATGAGTGCACATTATATATTTTCTATTTTGATGACCTAGATGACCACTGAGAGGCTACTTATCTTGTTGTTTTACTACTTGGGGTGACACCTATCGAAATAAGCCTAAGGCCCCTTCAATTCCAGTAAAATCGACATGCAACTTGGCACTCTTGTTTTTTGACCAATTGTGCACTGATGGACAGGCTTTGATTTGTTTTGTGAGATCACAATTCATTCTGGTCCATAGTATGCTCGTACTTGTTTTCTAAAAGAAAATAATGCATCAATTATTATTATAATAACCTCATAACTTTCATTTCAGCTTGAAGCTTTTCTAAATCAGAGACTGGTAGAATTAAAGGGTGATAACTCTGTATTATCTGACAGTCAGTTTCAATCAGCACCTGAATCTATACAACTGGATGCATCACAGGTCACTAACCTTCTAGAAAAAGTACAAGAAATAACGCAGATGTTAACTAATATGAGAATGCAACAATTATTACTAATTAGAAATTCCCCACGGTAATTTTTCATAGTTCTTAACTAAAATTTGTAAGGCATCACCTTTTATATACTGACAAATTGATATTATAAAGACTTCATATATTTATAAAACCAATGTTTTCAAAGTAACTATTTAAAGCGGTGGACACTCTAGTGTGTCATTCGGCCAAATTTCTATTCGCCCAAATCAAATCATGTTTGATATATTCTACCCAATTTTCATTCAGCTGAATATATTCACATTTTGTGTCCTGTTTGCATGTTTAGAATTCAATAGAGAATCACCACATGATTGTTTGAAGACATGGTCACTGCCATATTTAGTCATGTGATGTGAAAGGTGATGCAATCGACTGTTGAATCGGGTGGAGACTTCGCCTAGTGTGTCCATTCGGCTGCAATTCCGCTTTAGGAACATAGCGATAAACTGTATCAATATTTGTACCATTACAAAGCCCATAGTTTCTAATTAATGGCAAAAATATTTGTTTCTAAAATAAATACAAGGGAGAAAAAGAACAGTGAACAAAGACATTTTTAATACATGAGGGGATCTTCTATGAATGTGGATTAGTTTTATGAGATGAGATCAAAATCAATAAAGACGTTCTAACTGTGAATTACACAACACATGCAAATTCAAATGTCTGCCAGTTTAGCATTAACACTGTGGACGTATATTGTCGTCACCCCTGTCCATCTGGACATGCGGAATATCTAATTCACAATTTGTTTGTGGTCACTCTACAGGTCACAACTTTTATCCAACTTTGAAAATTGGATCAAAACTGCCTGACAAAATGTCCACTCTTGGTATGCAAATAGTGTATAAATATGTAATACCAAGGTTGTGGACCCTCTAGAGGTCACAATTTTCATTCGATTTTGATGATACTTAAAATATATGTTTATATCCCCGAGATCTTGATTCCTTTCGATACTTGCGCATATCGGACTGTATCTTCCTGGATTATGGCCCCTGATTGTTTAGCTTGCTCAAAGTCCATCTCTTGTAAAATGTGGGCGTATTTTAAACAACAGGATTGAAATAAAGAATGAGGTGTCTAGATTTATTTGCTTCTTTTCAGATTTGTAAATCGTGTTAATGATAATCTAAAACAGATATTAACATTAGCTGACAAGATGAACTTTCTCGAGAGACAGGCTGTAATAAGAAGAAAAGAAGCTTTAGAAGAACAGAAAGAAGTAGAACCTAAATTAGATATAATTATCAAAAAAACAAAAGAGCTACAAAAACAGGTTAGATAGCTTTTAATAAAACGATTGTACTAATATTCAAAAAGGATGATTAAAGATACATTATGGGAGATTAGATAAAGAGCTGGCAGTTCTCACTATAATAGTTAAAAACTAGATACGGTAAGGGAAATTGATGAAAATTTCAGTCAAATTGATCCACTCTGAACCGAGATTTTAGCGATTAAATTTTCGGCCTAGCCTCGATCATCATTACTAAAGTCAGTATGATAAAAAACATAGTCTCGATTATCCATTTCATGATTAAATCATGAATGGAAGTCAAACAGCAAATCAGAACCAAATCCAATAAACATTGCAGGCTAGTGATGACATCGAGGGTTGAATATAGTCTGGATAAGTTAATTAATGTCTAATAAATAATTTAGATAAAATTTCACGCCTAAAGAAAGACCTGCAATAGGCAGATTTAGCTCTGTGTGGAAAGTGTTTATTCATTTGTTTATGATATGCGACACAGCCACATTGAAGGGAAACTTAAACATTCCCCTCCCTTGATCAGCACAAAGGACTTCAACATTGGTTGGAGAAAATAATTAAAAAATTAAACACTGATGGGGGATTAAGCAGACTTGGGTTTTTATTTCATATAACAGACATTGAATTTTTGTATCAGAATAATGTTAATCCACTCATTGAATAATTCTTATAATTGTTTATATATTTCAGTTACAGTCAGAAATATCAAAGAAATATAAAGGCAGACCAATTAATATAATGGGAGAAATCAATACCATTTAATATTTTTGAAATTATATTTTTTGTTATTTTACAGTATAAATAAACAGGGTGGGAGATTTATTGTTATATTATGTATTTATTTGTATGTATATAAGTAAATAGAGACTTAAATATATGTCATATAGTTTTGCCTTCCTCCACTCTAATCCTATATTACAAGTATGCAGTCAAATAGACAGAAATGTTGTCTCGGAGTTTCTGATTTTATAAAATTCTCGGATAATCTCTAAGACCCTGCGCTTAACTTACCTACCCCCCTTCTCTGCTGAAATTCCTCAACAAGCCCGAGGAACGGTCTTAATTTGGAAACTTATACACGTTAGCTATCACAAGGAAAAGCATATACATATATTATTGTATAATACACTGCAACACACATAAAAAAACCCAGTCCAAGTCAGTCACAGAGTAATTATTCTCTTTTGTCCGATCAATATTGTGTACAAAACCAGTGACGTATATTTCAGTATTGGATGGGGTACATACACGTGCCCCTCCCCCAAAATTCCATTTCTTGTGCTGTTGAGGTTGACTATGTTTCGATGGGGATAAAATTCCCCCCGCCCCAAAGTATTATTCGACCGGAAATGGTGCCACAATTGGTAGAACTCGGTGAAATAATCGACGAGCGCATATATATATGAAACAGATGTTAATTTATCTGTAAGTTTCTCTTTCTTTATCTATTTTATCTAGTCCATAAATAGACCTATATACAGTATAGCTGAATCCTTGACACATGTCCGAGGGAACATGTCATTAAATAGGACAAGCTGACACCTCATTTTTACTCTATTAGAATTTAGACATAAATGAAATGGAGTCTTAACACCGGTCTACTATCCTCCAACCGGGCAAATGAAGACCAGCATACGCTATGTAGTACATGGGGACCTCGCCTTTTTGTAGCATACGAAAGATTAGACGCTGTTCTTTGCAAGGAAAACGTGCTGGAAAATCTCTATGAACTTTTGAAACCATCACGGAGCCAAAAAAGTTTACTGGCATCGCTCAATATTTGTATCATCAATCCGGCGTGGTTCACCCTTGTCAGTTGTCTAGTCGTTCGGATGTAACGAAAAACCTAGGTCCCGTGTACACTTTGGCGTGCACGTAAAAGATCTCTTGACAGTTGGAATTCGATATAAGAGTAGGCCGTAGTGCCGCTGTCCGGGCAAAATTTCCTCATAGCACACTGTCTTATGCCCGTCTTCATTAGCCCAGTTCGGAGCAGAACAGTAGGACGTTAAACCCCATTTCATTTGTTGCATCAACTTTTTGGGCAGAATTTTCTCAAAAAAATATACATGTAATATTTTGTGGGGAGAAATCCTTTTGTCGTATAGTCATGACTTTTTATTCGCCTGGAGTCAATTTTCGGACATCGATCATTATAATTTTTCGGGAACTGAAATTTCTTTTATTTTGGCAGTGGCTAAATACCACGCTCCAAAATACCACGCTAGTCCCTGCTGCTTCTATACAAATGTAACGTGGTACGTGAGTTTGGTACCACGTACTTCATAATTATAGTGATATTACCTTATTAAGAGCTGATTTTGCAAATTAAATTGGTTATTAACATTTAATAAATTTTGATGTGTTTATATGCCATATTTACAAACGTTATGTTGTAATACTTTGGTCCTTAAGACCATATATATAGTGTGTCTGTAACTAATTATTGTTTCACATTTTCTATAGAGTCAAATCCCAAGGACTAATGAAAGTTAATTATCTATTTTATATAAAAAAAAAAAACAGTGATGTTTTTGGTAAAATCCATACCATTGTCAAAATATCCATCAAATTCTATCTGTTTATGACATGTGTTTAGTAGACCAAATAAGGTAATGTTCTCCCCCCTGGTCTTGGGAGAATGGGGATGTCTATTCCATATTTGGGAAGGAAATTAACACCAAGGTCAGTTTTTAACGTACAGAAATAAGGGGGTTATAAAAGACAGTGTTGAGCGAAATTGACCAGAGCTTACACAGATATTCCGAGCAGCTATCATCTATGCTTTATTGAGAACGAGGGACCTTTGAAGCTAACTAGTTTAACAATAAAGTTGTTGGAACAACTAACCTGTAGTTTTATTTACGATCACAAAGGAAACACAACAAGGAAGTCCGATATTACTACAATGTTTAAAAACAATCGTGGTATAATAGAACATACCACAGACTCACAGGTTGAAATGGTGCATCATCATTATTTGTTTCATCAGTTTTCAGATGAGCATTAGGTGACATTTCGGTTACAAAACCATATAAATAAGGCTATATTGGACAACTTCCAAGTTGCTGCATTCACGGGCCGAAATAGAAGGAAAGCACATTTGCGGTCATCTCATTTTCATAAATCTCACAATTCTGAATTTGGCATCTGTATAATGTATATGCACAAAACACATAATTCAGAAATTTCTGAAATTGGCACTGTATTATACAGAGTGCCAAATTCATTATATACCTTTTATCTTTTCATCGTTTACCGCGAAACAAAGTAGTTTAGTTTTACGGTTGTGCTAATATTTTTGGACACAAACTGATTTCAACACGTCCATTTAAAAAAAATCACCACTTTACTTCATTCTGACATACATTAATCCATATTAAAGAAATGAAATGAAATGAAATGAAATGGGGTTTAACGTCCTACTGTTCTGCCCCTATAATGGGCTAATGAAGACGGGCATACGCCATACAGTGTGCGATGAGAGACATTTTGCCCGGGCAGCGGCACTATCGCCTACTCTTACATCGAATTCCAACTGCCAAGGGATCTTTTACGTGCATTCCAATGTATACACGGGACCTCGGTTTTTCGTCTCATCCGAAGCACTAGACAACTGTCCTTGTCAGAACCTCCGTCCTGCATCACTGACAAGGGGAGAACCACGTCGGAAAATCCAGATGAACTTTCTCGGCCAATGCAGGGATCGAACCATATTATAGTATACAGAATGAGCCGTGAGATCTGTATATATTATTTTATTCAATTTCTTTTTCTACATTACATTTAAATAATGAAATATTGAAAATTTCCATTATATTAGTACAGATAATAAAATTTATTTTATGATCAGTAGTGGAATACCGCGTTTTATCAGTGAAATAAAAGTGTTATTCCACTGGCAAAGTAGTCCATGTTGTTTTTACCTAAAATGATTGTAAAATCATAAAATAAATAGAACATTTGTCGTTTTATCGTGAATAACATATTTTATTTCATCTCTAAGCAAGAAAACGTTTATATTTTCACTCATGCTACGCATTCGTGAAAATATAAGTTTTCTTGCTTCTCGATGAAATAAAATATGTTATTCACTCTAAAACGACAAATATCCTCTATATAGAAATATTCTGAATATATCAATCCCCCAGGAAAACGCGTTTGCCGTCTAATTGTTTTTGGCATTTCATTTCAGAGAGCCTCATACAAGCTTTGAAACTAGGCATGGTCAGATGCTGCTTTGTCTGTGATGGGTAGTGTTCCACACAATGAAAATTTGGGAAATATTGGATCGAGCAATGAAATGAAAATTAACATGAAACCAAAATTAACATTAAAATCAATGGACAAATTAAATGTGGTCTGCATCCATAACTATACCGGATCTAAATCCATTATAAAGTAAAAGTAGGAATGGAATAACATAAATATTCAGGTTTGCAGTCCGAACAGTACATTATTCACAATGCAGTGTATTGTTATTCTTTCTAGAGCAGACGATATTAATTTTCATTTATCGGGGATCGAAGTTCAAAAACCGTAGCTAAAACTAGTAAAAGTATAGTAGGATCATTACATCTTTGCATAGCACCAATTTCCTTACACGTAGTTAAGTAGGCTACAGCCTACTATATATAATAGGTTCGACGCTTTAGACTTAGTTCTGTTCTTATACGGGAAAAATAATAGACACGGATACTGACCCGTTCTTTGCTGTTACTCTTATCATAAACCGTAAAAACAATAAGAATGTATATAAACTCGCAAATCACGTGATTCATTGAACACATATACCTAAAGTAGGACATCACTTTTCATCATTGCAAGAGCTAAGCTTATATCCAACAAATCAATATGCGGATGTTATTATTGTATGTTTTCTGCTTGTGTCTACTTGGAGTTGAATGTAACACATTCCTGAATTTAAATGGAGAATGGCGGATTTCAAATACAGATAAAAGTAAGTACACTATCGTTATAAACATAACTGCAGTAATATTGTGAAAAAACTATTATTATTATTTTTATTATTATTATTACAGAATATAAGTGGCTATTTATAGACCTAATATTTTATACGGTTATTATAAAATACACTATAATTTAATATTTATATATTACAAAATATAATAAAAGTTGTTGTATATAATATTATTTGTTATTGAATATACTTGATTCTATATGTTTTTTTTTTTTGTTTTTTTTTTTACAAACTAGAATATAATTGGTCCTATATGTATTACAACGGTTGTACGTGGCAAGGAGTAGGGTCGCCTGTCCAACCTCGTGGGTTTTCTCCGGGTCCTCCGGTTTCCTCCCACTGCTAAAGACCCCTACGCGCAAGCGAATTATGTAAATAAAATTAAACCATATGTTAGTCCCGAAATGACCTAGTTTGTGTCGAGTGGAAGTTAAACCCCATTTCTCTCCCTCTCTCATGTATTACAAAATATATGCGCATGGTTATATTAAAGATTATATTACATAATATAATATTTATATTATAGAATATAATATTTAAATTATAGAATATAATATTAATATTATAGAATATAATATGTATATTTACAATAATATATTTATATTTTACAATAATATATTTATATTTTACAATATTATATCTAAATTATAAAACATAATATTTAGGTGGGCTATATCTCCACCTAAGATCGATTTCGATCTTACTAAACATAAAAAGAAAGATACTAGCTCCACGGTGTTCCAACCTCTCTTCGGAAAGATATGGTCTAAGTATGGTGACTATATACTCCTATTTATACAGATGGTTCGAAGGATGGTGATTGGAGAGCGGCTACCGTGACATCATCCGAGACCATTCTGTTCGCCTATCACCTGCTGCTGCTTCTTCATTCAATCATCATCAATATTGAAGCATATCATCTTTACTGACTCTTTGTCCTCTCTTCAAGCATTTGATAACAAACAGCTTGATCATCCATTAGTAGCAGATATATATCGTCTGCTACTATCATTCGAGTGTATCAGCAAGGACATGGGTATCAAACTATCTTTCTTTTTATGTTTAGTAAGATCGAAATCGATCTTAGGTGGAGATATAGCCCACGGTGGTATTTAAAAGAAAAGGATATTCGCAATACTGTTAAGACTGATACCAGCCTCAGACAAAAGGGGTTGTATGTGAATACCGAAAGATGGAATAACATTCGTTTTGAGCAGATATAAATGCCCATGATAGGATCTAAATATGGTGTTATATGAAATGTGATTAAGAAGAGATGTAATTTTTGTAGCATACTGCAGGGCCAGTTTATCATGTCGATTCTGCAACGAGGACCCGTGAGCCTCGACATATAAACTGTCCACTGGAGATGTACAAAATGCTCCTAAACTGATTCAAAGTCTTTGGTTGGGTATGGTGTCAAGCTTTTTGAGATAAGGCTCGCGGGCAGACCCATACACAATACACCCATAATCGAGTTTTGATTAATGCTCGATATAATCGAAGCAAATTCTTACGGTCTGCTTCCCACTCAGTATTTGATAAGACTCTCAATATGGTGAGGGCTTTCAGACATTTCTTTTTGGGACTTTTAATGTGGGGGATAAATTGTCTTTCATCCACAACTGGAAGGCGATTCACCTCCAAAAACAATTCTGGATCTGGATGTATACCTTGTTTCTGACAGAAATGCATGCAGACAGTCTTGGATTTCGAAAAACGAGATCCATTTTCGGCTTCCGTGAGGAATCCCCATTTCCTGAGGAAATGGATCAGAGAATATTGATCTCAGTCTTACCTTAAATGACCTATCTTCCACGATATTTTTTAATGAAGACATGTTACCGACCTCGTAGGCCGAGCTTATGGATGTCACGCATGATACCATGTTTCCATATAGTATCGTAAGCTTTTTCCAGATCGGAAAATATTGCAACTAAATGTTGCTTCTGGATGAAAGCGTCCCTGATGAACGTTTCAAATCGAACGAGATGACGAAGAGTGCTCCTTTGGGACTGAGATCCACATTGGAGGTCAGTTATAAGGTTGTTGGACTCAAGGTACCAAACAAGCACTACTTTTACCTTTAATCCTACGAATCCTATCCCATACCGACTTAGATGTGGAAGGGGAAATGACCTTTGAGACGTAACCTTGCCATGAAGATTTATTTGCTTGACGTATGGTTCTACGAGCCTTCGCCCGGAGTATGCCGCAATATTCTCCATGGAAGGATAATTCTTTAGTCGTCTAAAATTTGAACGGACTTGCAATCGTCATTATACCAAGGTTTATTGAAACGTTTTGGTTCAGTCGTGGTTTTTGGAATCGCCTGTTCAGCTACTTCTTAAAGAATTGAAGCGAATAAGGCCGTAGGCCTATTTACATCTTCCAGCTCATTTGCATCAAAAGAGAAAAGACACAAAGATTCTAAAAGAGCCCAGTCAGCCTTATCAGACTTCCACCTCTGAGGTTTTATATTAAAAATATAATATTTATATTATAAAATATAATATTTATATTATAAAATATAATATTTATATTATAAAGTATAATATTTATATTATAAAGTATAATATTTATATTATAAAATATATTTATATATTTTTATATTATAAAATATAATATTTATGTTATAAAATATAGTATTTATCTTATAAAATGTAATGTTTATATTACAAAATATAATGTTTAAATTACAAAATATAATGTTGAAATTACAAAATATAATGTTTATATTACAAAATATTTATATTTTACGAATATGTAATATTTATATTACCAAATGTAATACTTATATTACAAAATGTAATATTTATATTACATAACTTTTCTAAGTGATGTTTTATGATATTTATATCACAGATTATAATAGTTATATACAATACAACAAAATATATAAGTGATGAAATATAATATTTATATATTTATATATTACAGAATATAATATAAGTGGTGATGTACCTGGAGGTATTTATACAGCTTTGATCAAGAATAATATAATAGGGGATCCATTTTATAGAGATAATGATATAAAATATAGATGGATAGCTTGGGAAAATTGGACTTATTCCAGAAATATTTACAGTAAGTTTTAGGTGCTCAAGTAAATTTGAATTTAGATGAATAAAATATAGATGGATAGCTTGGGAAAATTGGGCTTATTCCAGGAATATTTACAGTAAGTTTTAGGTGTTCAAGTAAATTTGAATTTAGATAAATAACATACTGGGTGTCAAAGAAACGAACACATTAAAACCAATAGAATATGCTATAAAATACATAATGTAAATTAAAAAAGTATGTTTATATATTGTATTTATTGTTTTCAGTTGAACATGATGTTTTGGAAGAAGAAAGGGTGGTCTTGGTTGCTGAAGGACTGGATACAGTTTCTACAATATATATGAATGGACAAGCAGTCGTAAGGACAGATAATATGTTTGTTACTTACACAATAGATGTTACAAATATCATACAAAAGGTATAATATTTAATCTTGACGGTAAATAGTTTTTAGCAATTAATTGGACATCTTCCCCATTGCAAAGTCTAAAATGATCAGATCGCTTTGATTTTGGTCAAAAATACAATTTTGCCAACATAGATAAAGCCAATATTGAACTGCAACAGATTTTCTGTTCCACTGTCGGCAAAGTAAGGCAAACATTTATGGTGTCTGACATTGCTAATACTCAATCGGAGTGTCTTTCACCCTGCCGTCTAAACCATTGTTTGTAAGATTTCAACAAATTTCACCAGGCTCCTTGCTTGGAAAGTACATACTCAGTTTCATTATGTATGATTATTCAGTCCCACGAGATCTGGACAGGAGAACCACTTTATGGATTTAACCAGCTGTGGTAGTTATTGCTTGGTTAATACACTGCATTTTCTTTACGGGATGCAAAAGTATAGTAAAAGTTTATGAGCTATATATATACGAAGTGTGTTTTGGAAAGAGTACGTGTAAGCATGTTCTGCGTTTTTATACAAGAACCAGCGCTAAAACTACCCATACTAAATAAACACTGAATACAAAAAGTGAAATATACATTTTCATCTGTTATCTTTTATTTTTTTACAGCAAGGTTTCTATTCTATAGATATCGCCTTCCAATCTGCATTGAATGCTGCTAACAACTTAGCTAATAAATCCTACATACCAAGTCATTCCACGCCGTCCTACAACGGTTTTCCGAATGTTAATTTTCTTAGAAAGATGCAGTATTCCTTTTCATGGGATTGGGGTCCAGCATTTCCAAGCCAGGGCATTTGGTAAGTCTTATTTAAAATCTTGTACATAGTACATTTTATAAAATGTTTATGAAATTTAATTTATATACGTTAAGATATAATAGAAAATATTTTTCATTTGGAACATGTATATCAGAAGCAAAATTTGTACACTTAAAGATATTATATATAAAAAAAAAAATTCATTAGGGACATGTATATCAGAAGCAAAATTTTATGGATTTTATTAAATACTAGTACATGTATAATGTTTATCTTACTTGTATTTTGTACATGTCTTTTTTATTTTTAGGAAGAATATTTATATACAAATAATCAAAACACCAATTATACAAAATATATCTGTTTTACCACATAAAGGTAGATATAGTTGTCATCATTATAGACTTTTGATATAGACTTTCTGCCTTCTAATTGAGGTACATGTTCGTTCTAAGGTGACTGTCTTGACTGGGTTCTGCTGCTTTTTATTTGACCAGAACTATATCCATTGTGTTTTTGACTCAAAGAATTCAAAGAAATGTCTGGAATATACATGGCCAGTCTTTCTATTATTTATTTTAACGTGTATCGGGTTTAAAAAATCTGGCAAAAACCGGGCGCGACGATTCTTACACTCTCTTGGCTACCAACAAAAAAATTTTAGCCAAGGAAATAGTCAAACATGTCGGACTATGTCGGTGTAAACATCTTTTATAGGGAGCAATAGTTACAATATACTTTACATAATATACAGATACATTTATATTAACCATTTGGATTAATATTAGATATATTTTACTATATAGTTAATGGTAATTGGTCTGTTGACGTTGAAGTGAATTTTGAAACTAGCGATGGTAAAGTAGATGGTATAATAGAATTTTTAGTACAGGATTTAAAATTATTAAAAAAACAGATTTCAGGTTTATCTGTTACTAATAAAGTTATAAAACATACAGTAGATATACCACCGGTAAGTTCATCTCTTTTATAGTGCAGCGTTTGTCACTAATTACTGTGAAGGTATAGCGCCTGTCGATATTCGAACAGTGCATGCAGAAGATGTTTACCCTATCCAGTAAGCCATGAGAAGCGGATCCCTACTAACCAAATGCTGGAGCAATGTACAAAAGTTATCACCCCTTTTCTTAAAAGCTTACACTGGCTTCGAATTCATGCTTTATTTGACTGAATTAAAATAATTATTAATCTTTGTATTCAAAGCAATCCTTAATCTCGACCCCTGTAACTTTAATATCTGAGATCTGTCCTCCCTTTATCAACCATCTTTAATATCTAAGATCTGTTCTGTGATCTGTTCTTCCTTTATCAACCATCTTAAATATCTGAGATCACCCTTTATCAATTATCCGCTTTTTTAAGATATGACAACTGCAGTTAAAAATGCAACCCAAATCAGGAGCCAGATATTGAAATGGTGCTTTTCAGCGATGTGGTGTAGTTTTGTGGAATATACGTTTCATAGATAACAAATAGATCAGTAACGCTGAACACATTTAAGTGAGAGTTAAAGACAATAATTTTCAAGCAAATTCAGAATTTAGCATTTAAAAAAAAACCAAAACAACACTTCAACAATGTAACATAACATTACAGAATTTCCCTCTGGATGTGTGGTGGCCAAATGGATATGGAAACCAAACTCTCTACAATCTAACTGTAATATTTTTGTGTCAAAATACATCAGGGATATCAGTTAAGTCTAGAAGATTTGGATTTAGAACTGTAGAGTTAGTAGAAGATCCCGTGTCTAATAATGCTAGCCATGGTAAGAATTAATTGGTTTGCACAATATTTTTTATCCTATTTGGATATCTTTATAATCCCGAAGCACTATAAAGTCCAAAAATTGTTGGTGATTCACAACTTCAGATTTTCGTCTACACGTAAGCTGGGTACACACTGATAAATATTAATGTTGACGATCGGAATAACATTCTAAACCATCTCTCCAGTTGAACGCAAGGAGTTATCATCCTTCCTATATAATTTGAGGGGTTCACATAGTTAGCTAACATATTTTTGCTCTACATTTGGACGAGGAACAAAATCAAATCACGACGCCGGGACCAAACCATCGATACAGATGGATATACGCTGTATCGAGTGTCGTGCACAAGAGTATACTAACACTTTCTAGAACACCTACTACCACCTTTAATTTGAGTAGATTACATAGCTAATATGGTTTTGATGTACTCTTAGATACCTCACACAATCTGTTAAACCAGATTTCCCGGGGGTTTTTTGTTTATATATATATACCTTTCTGTCCTAGGATTAACATTTTACTACAAGATTAACGATGTTCCTATATTCCTGAAAGGCAGTAACTGGATACCATCAGATATGTTTTTAGAGAGAATAACACCAGAAAGGACTCGACGATTTCTGCAATCAGCTGTCGAAGTTCACGTCAATGCTATGAGAATGAATGGAGTAGGGGTAAGTAGGGGTAATGTAAATTGTTAATTGTATTTTCGGCATATCCTATGAAAAAGAGCATATTTTGATACTCGTTTTCTTTTTGTAGATATTTCATACATTGACAAGCTGTTTTACCCAATATTGGCATTTTTTTGTTAGTAACTTGCATTGCATCATTTTGTAAGAGGGCGGAGATATCGAATTGTTTTTCTCATTTTTTTTTTTAATGTCTTATTGATTAATCCGTGTATCAAATGTATGCGCTATCCAATTTCCGTCTCTAAATTACCAGTTATATTAACGCTTGGTATATTAAGTTTTACGGAAAGTTATTTGACAGCTACAAAAGAACATGTTTCCAATGAACAATTTATTTTTGTTCGCGAGGAAGATTTCATTCAAGCCCTGATAAGCAATTTGCTAGAAACGATAATTTAATTTATTGTAAGAAATGAAATGAAATAGGGTTTAACGCCCTATTTTTCTGACATGGCTGGGCTAATGAAGACGGGGAGTTACGCCATACAGTGTGCCGTTTGTCATGTAGTATTAGGGAAATCTTTGCTGGGACAGCGGCCCTACGGCCTACTCTTATTTCGAATCCCAACTGTCAAGGGTCCTTTTATGTCCACGCCAATATGTGCACGGGACTTCTGTTCTTTTTTTCGTCCCATTCGAGCGACTAGACACTGTCTTTGTCAGCCCCCCCCCCCACGTCCTGCACCACTGTCGAGGCGAAACCAAGACATAAGTCTCACTCACTGATTCACCGCATCTCCCCTGTCTTTCAATGAATTATTTTAGATTATATATATTATATTATATATGATATCTGTCTGTTCCCTACTGCATACCCCCAGCAAAATCCATCACGTGCCATTTCTTCACCCATTCGTATTTAAATAATATCTTAATAAACTAAATACTAACACTAACAATTTGTGTAAAGTCTACCTCAACTCTCGCCCTTCTGTCGCTTGTTTATTGTCTCTCATATACACCACTAATTTTCACACTAATTTGTATTTTAACTTTTATGTTGTAGATTTATGAAGAAGATTATTTCTATGATTTAACAGATGAACTTGGTATAATGATAATACAAGATTTTATGTTCAGTGATGCCGTGTATCCTGTAACCAACGTATTTCTTAATTCAGTTAAAACAGAAATTACACAACAGGTAAAATATATTGTTAAATCAAAATCCAAAACACCTGTTTTTCTCATGTTTGACAACTGACAAGGCTACCCAAAAACCAAAGAAAAAGAACAGGCAACGCATAAAAGAACCACACTAACCTAGAATACAATGTCAATTCAAATGAAACTAAACAACACCACTGAGACAACAATCACTGGTTTATATACGCAAGCACGACGTTTTGATAAGTATCATATTATTGTCATCGTTGTGCTTGATATTATCGATCTGTAATGAAATGAAATGAAATGAGGTTTAACGTCCTACTGTTCTGCTCCTATACTGGGCTAATGAAGACGGGCATACGCCATACAGTGTGCTATAAGGGAAGTTTTGCCCGGGCAGCGGCACTATCGCCTACTCTTATATCGAATTCCAACTGCCAAGGGATCTTTTACGTGCATTCCAATGTATACACGAGACCTCTGTTTTTCGTCTCATCCGAAGGACTAGACAGCTGTCCTTGTCAGGCCCTCCGTTCTGCACCACTGACAAGGGGAAACCACGTCTGAAAATCTGGATGAACTTTCTCGGCCAATGCAGGGATCGAACACCCGACCTCCAGGCTAGCGAGCCAGCGTCTTAACCAACTAGCCACCGTGGCTCCCCGATCTGTAATGTAACATCGCATTGTAGCCATGTCTATTATCCGACTGTTATTATTATCTTTTTTTTGTATCATCTTTGTTATCCATTCTTTGTATCACCACTGTTATCCATTTTTTGTATATCATCTCTGTTATCCATTCTTTGTATATCATCTTTATTATCCATTCTTTGTATCATCAAATCAATGTTATTCATTCTTTGCATATCATCTGAAGAGTCCAGTGGAAGAACGATCTAAGTCACATTTTTGTCTTTTCGCATAAAAGGCAAAACAAACTTTTGAACGAGAATGCTTCATGCCAACAGAATAACGAGTGGGTTTAATTACAACTTCAAAATGATGTTTAATACAAATCATAATTACCAGTACAACTGACTTCTACTTTTCAGCCAAATTAAGGTCAAATAAATACGATGAACTTTTATTTGTCCGGGAGGCCTTTTCAGAAAGGCCTTGGTTCGATGTGACTCCGGTCGTTTTACCTGAAATTGATTGTTCCACAGAAAGCTTATACAATTTGCTACCAGATGACGCCATTAACTGGGGTTCGTTGAAAAAGTGACTTAGATCGTTCTTCCCCGGGGCTCTTCATCTCTGTCATCCATTCTTTGTATCATCTCTGTCATCCATTCTTTGTATCAACCTCTTTTGTATCATGCCTAACTTACTATACCTTTTTTTCATCAGATGAAACGATTAAAACACCGCCCATCAATTATCGCATGGGCACTAAATAACGAGAATGAAGAACTAATCAAATTGAATTGGTAAGTCCCATAAACTAGATATACTTCAAAAGTTCAAATTCTCTAATAAATTATTTTCACATAGTGCTAACCAAGATTGTAAGAAATTGTTTTTATAGTGATAAAGATAACTTTCTTATATCGCATATTTTGCAGAAGTTGGTATATTACAACAGCGGTTGCATGTTAGGGTGTTTTTGTTTTTAAATTTTAAACCGATCATGTCGATGTTACATGTTTGTGTGTTACAGTTTTCAAACCAGTCACATCGATGTTTCATGTTGGGGAGGTTTTTTTTTTAAATTTTGAACCAAGTATATCCATGTCGAGTGGTATTGTTGGGTTTTTTTTCAAACCAATCATGTCGATGCTGGATTGTTTTGTTTTATTAAAATCATGCCGATGTTCGGGTGGGTTTTTCTATCAAATCGGCCTTGTCGATGTGTTTTTAAACTGTATATTTTTTGTCCAATTTCAGGTTTCAATTGAAAAATATATCTCGATTTGAGAAAGACTATGTTACATTATATATTGATACCGTACGACCTATTATGTTAGCTGAAGATGACACAAGACCATGGATACCATCTAGTCCAAGTAATGGTGTCAGTGTAGAAAAAGACCAAGGCTGGTTTGCCAATAATTCAGCTTTAGAGACAGTTGGGGATAGTAAGACTTTAATGTTTTTACTATAAATCTATGTTGTAGAAAACGCCAAACGTGTAGTAAAAATCTCGCCGCTAGATATGCACACGTGGCCACAGAAAAGAGATTAATCGCACATTAGTCTCAGATGACCTTCATGGTGTGTTGAGGTCGACGGGAAGTTGACCTCAGTTCAATTCTAATCTACGAGAAAGACCTATGGTCACTATAACTGTCTATATTATTTATTGTCTAGAAATCACTATTGATGAATAATGCAGTTAGTTCTGGGTGGGGTTCCGATGTACAATATGTCTTGAAGCTGTTATCATGTATTAAACGGCTGTCAGATTAGGCAACAAAATAAATATTTCACGAACATTATAACACACTCTGTGACACAGACAATTTCAAAGAAATTGGGCCGACAAAATAACGTGTAACTCAACATCTTTGAATTGTGTTAAAAACTATATTGGACTAGGAATAACCACAGAAAATCTTCTGTTTTTCTTCTAAGATTGGGATCTGACTTCCAGACAATACATCTCTGCATCACACAATTACATTTTATACATTCCTACCATAAATTACAATAGGTTTTCTTTACTTTCAGTCCATTTCTATGACTATACATCTGATCTGTGGAATGTAAGTAATTTTCCAACACCAAGATTTGCAGCTGAATTTGGATTACAGTCTTGGTGTAATTTTGAAACAATTGAACCTGTTTTTGAGGATAGTGATTTTGATTATTGGTCTAACATGTCTTTTCACCGACAACACCACCCACTAGGTATTACCTTACTATAATAAACACGTTCATCATACTGTAAAACACATAAACTAAATATTTTTATAGATAGAAAAAGTCATACGGAATGACCAAATGGTGTATCTTTAGATATTTGGTCAATATTGTAAAACAAATTGAGTAATTAATATAACCTGGGGAAGCAACCGAACTGGGGTGGGACTCTTAAAATAACCAGAGACATAATTAGTTTTTTTTTGAGGAGGAGGGGGGGGCTCTAATATTGACATATATTCTTAAATGAGTAAATGCTAAGATTTGGGAAACTGAAAGATTATCGCTTGCATGTTGAATGGTCTCTTTTGTTCTGTATATATTTGTATTGTCTATATTTGTTTTGTATAACAGGTAATTTGGAGTTGATTATGGAAGCTGTTGTACACATGAAACTTCCCAATTCAACTGATGTAAAACAACGATTTAAAGATTTGATATACGTCACACAGGTAACAGATTATTCAAACTAACTCCCCATGATGAAGACGAAAAGACAAATTTTAACCATTCCATTGATAAAGTTTGATTAAGGGATATGGAGTACCAGCAGAGTAATTCCATTTAAAAACTTAAAAATAAAACAACATTTTTTCGAATTTCCTACTATATATAAATTTATTATGCTCATATAATATAGAGTTTCTTGTTATTGTATATTTCTTATGCTATTATATGGTTTCCTATGTCAAGTTATGTATAGTTTATTGTTATTGTTGAATAGTTCTTATGCCTTATTATTGTATTGTATAATCAAGGAATTCGAAGATAATATAGATCAAAACTCTTATTCATCTGTGTCCATCAATCATAAAATTTCCATGTGGGCATATAAAAATGACAAGATGGGTTTTGGAACAGATGGTCACAGAATGCTGAATAGCGATAGGTTTAATCGTCCTCTCCTGCGCAATATAAGAATCTGTTATCTTATTTCAATGGAAACTGGACACGAAGACTAGATATAAGAAAATTATTAGAAATATCCACCAGACCCATTTTTTTCTTATCATAAACTTGATTCAAGAAAATTATTGAAATTATTCTACGAAAATTTTCTTATTTTATGAATTATATAATCTTAATTGAATATATATTTCTTGATTTAAGTTAATCTTTTGACTTTCAAAATATACTCTAGAAAATTATCCCTATATTTTCTACAAGATTATTTTCTTATTTTTCTTGAAATAGGAAATTGATTTTTTACTGTATGTTATTATATGGTTTCCTGTGTCATGTCATGTTCTTATTTTATGTTTCTTATGTTTGTTATGACATATTATAGTGTTTGAGAATTTTGGATGATATCATCTCATTTACTGTATTACTAGATTAACCAGGCTATGGGTATTAGAACTGAAGTAGAACATTATAGAAGATATCAGAATGAACTCAACAAGGATGGTAAAGGTATAACTATGGGAGCCCTGTATTGGCAACTTGTGGATGTCTGGCAAGCTCCTACTTGGTCTTCCATAGGTAATAATTTACATACAGAGATATAATGTTATACATCAATGTTCCACTTAATGTTTTAGTCCCATAGTACATTCTGCTTCTGACAGTAACACCTAAGAATAAAACCAAATCACTAACAAACTGTTTCTAAAAATGTTTTGGATATTTATCACTGGAATTAACCATAATAATGTAGTCGCATTTTGTCAAGGATTTTTCAAAATACAATTTTTCCACCTTTATTAACATTTATCTTTTCCAGATTACGACATTAACTGGAAAATGCTTCATTATTATGCAAGACATTTTTTAAGTCCAAAATTGATATCTCCTTATCTCGATGGAGATATTCTCAATATTTTTATGGTGACTGATGAAGTACCTTCGATTGAAGAGAGACACCCTGAAACCCAGCAGTTATATTTTAAACAAATGAAGTCATCAGATATATACCAAAAATTTCCTCTGCACCAATATGTAGACATAATGAATAAAATGAAAGAGACTATATTTGGAACTGTTATAATGGAGATGTATAATTGGTCGAGTTTCACACCAATCAAAACATGGAATATCCCCTACCAGGTCAGAAAATAAATACTAGCACAGATTACTTTTAATTATTAGTTACCTGAGTTTAAAATTTTATAAAATGAAAAGAAAAATGATACTAGTTTATTCCTTCAATGCTGATGAAATTTTTAAAGTAGCGGGACAACGATTAAGGAATTTTAAGACAGTAAGTTGTAGCGTCGAGAAATTAATGGGACCTGAAGCAGGTCAACATAGATGCATATTCCCTGGATAATGACATCATATTATATAGTTATATTCTCATCATCTGATTAATTACTATACATAATGAGAGATTAGATAAAGAGCTGACAATTCTCACTTTAATAGTTAAGTCATAGATAATGTAACGGAATATTCTGACAATTTTAGTCAAATAACTTCACTCTAAGCCGAAAAATACTCATTTTAAAAACGCTGTATTCTCGATTGTCATTGTTGCCTTTGTGGCGAAAATAAAATAAGTCTCGATTATCCATTATTTTGCGTTTAATCATCAATGGCCGTTGAACGGTAGATCGGATTCAAATCTAATGAAAATCGGATGGCACGGAGAGATGATCACGGTCTTGTGTTAATAAATGTCTAATTAATAGTTTATATAACATTTCAGCCCAGAAAGACCATTAAAAAATAGATATACATTGTCCGTCAATTTTACAGCACCCCTGAGAACACCCCCCCCCCCCTCGTTGCTCTTAGCTAGTTACGGCCTGTGCAATAGGCAGATTTAGCTCTTGCATATTATTACATTTTATAGCTCTACTGATTAAGGTGGATAATACAATATTTCGCGAGGAGGCATCAGTCTGTTCTCCTGTAGACTTTTTAAGTTACAGTTGAATAAAATAATGTTATTTTCCTACCGTGGGATTCGTATTCGAATATTAAGAACGTTCACATGGTGTATTGTAAAACGACAGATTGTTCTGTTTTCTTCTTAAAGATTATGTAAGAATTAGATAAAGAGCTAGCCGTTCGAAAATAGATAATGTAAAATGAATAATTTGAAAATTTCATTCAATTTACTCTATTGTGAGCGAAGTTATTAGTCTTTGAAGGTTTGACAAGACGAGTGCAATAATTTCAAACACCGTACTTGTTGTTGGAAGCTAAGTCTCGCTCCTTCATTTTTAGCTTAAATCAAAATATTCATGAACTGTTCTAATCTATTTAATATCGGAGAAATCCGATGCCATCGAAAGTTGATTATGGCCTGGAAAAATTAATTAATGCCTAATTAATAATTTAGAAACATTTCAGGCCTTAAGAAAGACCTGCAATTATATAATGCATTTTTAAATAAGAGTTAATCACCGTTATTTTTAAATTCTAAAGTGATATATTTTACCCGTACCATACTCATAAAATTATGTCTTAACATAACATATTATCTTGAAATTTTAATCTGTTGTTTCAGTTAGATAAGACGTCGGGTCTAATATTTAAGAAAGCTGTGGCTGAAGTTTTAAATGAGGCTGCTTGTTTTGATCAGAGAAATTGTTTTCTATATTTCTACATCAACGCTTATAAATCCCCACCAGTCAGTACGAGTTGGTTAACTTTAAACTATTTTATAGAAAGCCAAAGTTTTATACCTAAAGCTAAAGTTGTAGTAAGTATAATATTACATGCATTGTAATTTATTCATTGTCATAAAATAATTATTATATAGCTGAAGTGGGTTGATAGCCATTGGCGGGTGCTGTATTATACACCAACCGCCTGCTCGTATCCTATAAGCCAAGGGTTAATTCGAAGATCATCAACTGTTATCGTTCTTGGCAGTGAACTTTTTTTAAAATCAAATTTTCCCACTTTGCTTTTAAAAATTGTTAAACTGTAATAAATGGGCCATTTCTATAGTTTGTAGGTGTCTGATCATGAGATGCATTAAATTGCTTGGCGTTGTCTGGAGATTGGTTTTTATCTATATTATTATGATTATTTTAAAGTCGGTTCTTTTGATATTTACATCCAAACAATGTACTTTGTTTTGAATACAGTCTATATGGCTGTGGTTGTTCTTATTTAAAAATCCATGTGGAGTTTCAGTTAGCACAAGAATAATAATCACCCCAATCTGTGTTGGTATCATCCATTAGTGTATAAAACTAATCTTTTAGTATCTCATACTTCTAAATTTCCGAAAATTGTGTTATTTTAAGTGCTTGTACACATAGTGTACTGTAATAAATTAAGGATGGATATATTTCAATTATAAGTGATACGTATTTGACGGTATTGAATTATATATGAATTTCCTTATATTTCAGGTAACGGATGTGACTGCACAATCCCAAACACAATTTACTGTAACCCTGGCAACAGATAATATAGCACCATTTGTGTGGGTCAACGCTTACAAAATATCAGGAAGATTTTCTGATAATGGTTTTCTTATGAAAGATCCTTTGCTTTCGTTGACGTTTACCTCCTGGCAACCGGTAGACCTAGATATATTCAAAAAATCTTTAACTGTTAAATCTTTTATGGACATTTATTACTAATTTTGTTATTTATTAAATATTTTCGTTTAGACATTCCTCAATTTACCTCAAATAGGTGTAACTGGATGTTTGTCATTATCTCCCGTTTGTATTTTAGTACTTCAGTATCTGAACTGTCTCATCTGTTTCATGGCCAAGTAATCTCATAAATGAAATAAGCAAAAGGAAAATATACGAAATTATAAGTATACGGCTATTACACTGCAGTTTAATAAAAGGGAATTGAACTGAGATCTAACCTGAGCGCTGTAGATCTCCAATAATCTCTCTCTCTCTCTCTCTCTCTCTCCCTAATGAGTTGTTGGGACTATTATTCAACTATTAATGTTAAATTAATCTACATTTCATCCTATATGCATTATGCCACACATGCATTATTTGGACATTATGCCACACATGCATTATTAATGGGCAGTAAATTTATTATAATTTTTTGATGGTTGTAAAATACTATTCATTTTGTGTTGTTGATAACGACTTTATATTAGAGAAGATGAAGGTAATAAAGATGTAAAGCCTACATTCAGCTTTTCTTATATTAGTTACTGTATTTATGTAGATGAAATGAAATGGGGTTTAACGTCCTACTTTTCTGCGGCGGGTTAAAGAAGTAGACAAATATATTCAATGTTTTTCACTGTGTGCAACATAATTTGATTTACGCGGATTAAATTTAGATACTTAATTTTCTTCCCGAAAGTCCCGACAAAAACTCGAGTCATATGCTACAATTTGTTGGACATTCCTTAAAAGAATATCGTTAGAACTCATCTGCCCTTTGCCAATTAGTATTAGTAAGCACTAAACACAAATAAAATAAAATGCGTGTTATCAAATAATATGGGGCTCGGGTTCCCTCTAAATAACAATATAAAATATTCATATTGTTTCTGTGGACAGAAACGTATACATTTGAGCGTTTTGTTGGTTGGGGTGATTTAGCTGATGAATTAAATATAATATTCAACTGCATTTAGACATTTGTCGAACTGTATAGTACTTTATAGGCGGGGGAAGTTAATCTCAAAAGTGGAGTGACCCCAACAAATTGCAAAAGAAACCAATGCAGTTTGGTTCAATCATACTTATAAATATTAGACAACATCATACTCAAATTCGGCCGAAGTCTACCAAGGCGAAATGACGTAGTTAATATAATTCAATATGACGGTCTCAAGGAAGTTTCTGAGAGCGATATCTTTAACTAGAGTGCGTTTCAGTGGTGGGACAATGAATAGATTTTTTTAATTAAAATCTTACAGTACAAAGTGGTAATAAAGGCGATATATTCCGAAAATAAAAAAAACTTGACCAAACAAATTTAAAAAAAAATTTTTTCACATAGTACCGGTCATGTTTTCAAAATGGCTGCTAAATGTGGTAATAAAATGGCATTGCCCCTTCATTAACCTATCTGTTATGCGAAAATTGCCTAGAGACTGGGGGATCCAGACTGCACCAAGACACCAGCAGGCGTTGTTGTTGTTGTCTGCCTATCTGTGCATAGAAACAAAAAATGCGGACATAAAGCAGAGTGACTACACTCGAGTGGCACCACACATCGTTTTTGTTCCCCCGCCTTTCGAAGAATGCAGGGGACTATTAAAATGGGTTTGTCCGTCCGTCTGTCTGTCTGTCTGTCACACTTTTTGGGGCACAATAACTCTCCCCTTCTTATTGAGCTAGAATTTTCAAACTTGGTGTTAGTGTTTATTAGGTCAATGCCTTGATGGAGTTCGAAGATGAGCATTTTCTGCTTAGAGTAAGCAGCAGAGGTAAGCAATTTGATTGGTTGAAGCTTTGAGACACGATAACTTTAGTTCAATACCTTGACTAAGTTCGATAATGAGCATTTTCTGCTCAGGGTAAGCAGAGCGATAAGCAATTTGATTAGCCGAGACTTTGAAACACAATAACTCTCCTTCTAATTGAGGTAGAATGTTCAAACTTGGTGTAGGTGTTCATTAGGTGAATGCCGTGATGGAGTTCGATGATAAACATTGTCTGCTTACAGTAAGCAGAGATAAGTAATCTGATTAGTTGATGCTTTGGGGGCACGATAACTTTGGTTATAATTAAGTGAGAGTGATGAAACACTGAGTATAAATTCATTATTTTTTATTATCTTGACTAACTTCCATGATGAGAATTTTCTGCTGAGGCTAAGGAGGGATAAGCAATTTGATTGGTCAAGACTTGGAACCTAACAACTCTGCTTTTAATTGAGGTAGAATGTTTAAACTTGATGTAGATGTTCATTAGGTGAATGTCTGGACTGAGGTCAATGATCAACATTTAGCGCTAAAGCTAAGCAGAGCTAAGCAATTTCATAGGTCGATTCTTTGGGACAAGATAACTGTGATTCTATCTGATAGAGAGTGATGAAAGTTAGTGTATAGTTGATAATCAGTTTGATTGCTTGATACTTTTGAAAAAAAAAATATATGTGCGATTAACTAATATGTGTCATCTATTAATTTTGGGAATTCGGCGGGGGACATAAGCCTCACTGTTGGTTTGTCTTTTACACTTATTTTAAAAATTTTAAATTCTTGAGTCAGTTAAGAAACATAACAGTTTCTGAAAAACTGACGACATAAAAAAAATTATCGATGCCTGAAAAATCCATTATAGCAGATCAGCCGAAACCTGAGACGGCCGGTTTCTGGCATTGGCATCATAAACAAAAGTGAAAAAAAAGGGAATAGAGACTTTTGGCCAGCGTAAATTTCCTGGTCCGCTTCGCGTATCCGTATGGATTGTGCATGTGACGTCATCAATGTGTGCGTATTTCTCATACGTGATACGGCACACGGATACGGCAGCACATATCGAATAGCTTTCATACGGAAAAGTTCCGTATAACTCCCGTCTTTTTACTGTCTTTTTTGCTACTTTTAGACTTTGAAATGTTATATAATAGCGTTTTTTATGAATCTATGTGTATCCTAGAACACAAAACTTGTATAGAATCCGCGTCCAACAGGAATATGAAAACAATGGATCGAGGAATCCTATACGGAGGTGTTCTTCACTTGATAAATATAAAGTAGATAAACAAAAGAGACACTAACACTGTTTTCATAGTCAGATATAATTAGACCAACGTTTCGAAGAGGTACCCTCTTCTTCTTCAAGGTAATAAATAAAATCAATCAATCAAAAATAAGGGCTCCCCCAACGCGACGTCATTGATCTCATTTCGTGCAACTTCCGGTCCAACGAAGTTGATAATCCCCAAGGGATAGCGCTTCGGAGTTAATTTGTAATTAATAACGCCGTAAAATGACCAATTTAATTACATCGTGAGCCGCATAATGATCAAATAAAGTCTCGTTGGCAATAAAACCGACGGGAAGTGGTAGAAGCATACGAAGTGTCGTCAACGAGTCAAAACAATATGGCGGTTGAATTTACGTCGTTGTTGATGAATTGTTAAGATATATATGTATGAGCTAAAAACACAAGGATATACTCCAGAAAGCACCATTTACAGAAATTTCGAGTTTGGTTGGAGATAACCCCGTCGTTCATCTTACGGAGCAAAGATCAGCCTGTCCCTGGTATCATATATGTATTATCTAGTGTCCATTGCTGGCGAAAACATTATAACGGTGAACTTGCCGTGAAATGAATCCGTGTTTACAATCGCTCTAGGATCTAGATAATACCAGAGACGGACTGGGGACCAAATGGCTCCCGAACCTGGCCGCGACGGGTTCCCACGCTATAATGGGGGTCCATTGTGGTTCTCTCCTCCACGGCGCGAAATTTCTTTGAAAAACTTACTATAAATTTATGTTTTCTACAGTAGCCTATGTCCTGATGTTTCTAGCTTATGCACAAATTTGATGTGTTACAATCTTATCTGAAATTAATTTTTGAACCCAATATTGAATTCAGTAACCCTGAAAACGTTATTTTACAAACAATATTCACAACAAAATCGCAATTTTGGATTCTAATAAGATTGTCGTTTTAAATTTACACCATCTTGGCTAAGTTTTTGGTAGAAACTGAACTCAGCAACCTCAAAACCCTTACATAAGACATATTACAAGCCATATCCAACGGAAACAATGACGATTAAATACAATTCCGCCATTTTGGATTTCTGCCTTCATGGATTCTCGAAATTGATTTTTGCGATCAGAATTGAAGCCAGTGACATCGACAACCACATACATGACATGCTAAAACCCATATCCATCAGGAAAAAAATGACGGTTAACTTAAAATCCGACATTTTTTAGTCCATTTTGAATTACTGGCATGTCAGATTTTCGAAATTGATCTTTAAATTCAGAGAAATCGAAAACCATATAAAAGACATAGTAAAGGTCATATCTTGCGATATTTCACTGGCTATATAGAGAAAATACTATTTTATTACGATTAATTAAAATTCCGCCATTTTGGATTTCATTTTGGCGGCAATTTGGAATTTCTACCACCATTGATTCTCTAAATTGTTATTACAGGTCATATCCAACAGGAATAAACGACGATTAACTTAAAATCCATCTTAGTGGATTCCATTTTGGCTGCCATTTTGAATTGCTATCAATATGGATTTTTGACATTATCTTTGAATTCAGAGACATCGAAAACCGTATAAAAGACACAATAAAAGTCACATCTTACGAGATTCTCGCTGGTTATATGGGGAAAACAGGGGCGGATCCATGAATTTTTGCAGGAGGGGGGTTTGCAAGGCTCCTGTTACTTAAATTTGACAGTTGACAATGCATGATAATAGGATCACATTAGGCCCTAATCGTGATATCACACATCATTATTACGCGCTTTGAATGCCAAACCCATCCCACCATCTGATGATAAAGGATAATGCACACGACCGTTACACCTTTCTCGTAAAGTTATTCTCCTATCACTAAAACACACTGTTTACGAGATATTGCTCTCCGAAACTTCCTAAAGACCGTCATATAGACTAAAAATGTTAATTACGTTATTTCGGTCGAATTTGATTATGATCTTGTCTGACATAATGTATAATTGAACCAAACTGCATTAGCTTCTTTTGCAATTTGTTTTGGATAAAACGTTATCTCCCCCCCCCCCCCCGGCCATTAATAAATCATCTTTATAGGGTATTTACACACAGCACATAGTAGTCCAAATAAACCCTTTTGGCAAAGCTATGGGGCTAGATTATCGAGACTACCTGTTTTTCAGTCAAGAGTTGTGATAATCAGGACTAAACCACAAGAGTTTCTCCCCCTGTCGTGTGTTGTTTACAAATGGCTGACGATCCATAACAACCATAGCTTCTAGTTCGTAATAAGCAATAGCACAAGACATCGCAAAACCACCTCCGCTAATACAGAGCTGTAAAAGAAAGGGTAGATATACCGTATTATCTGTCTATGATTACATGGATTAAAAAACATGTTGAGTTCGATCTACGTAGAGAGAGAGAGAGAGAGTTCACATTTTGTTTATTTTAAATTTACCATTCTTCACCCGATCCCGTAGCTTTTTGTTTACCCT